CTCAGCTGGCCCCATATTTCTTGTTAAGTAATACATAGAAACAAACACAGGGAGGCAGCCAAAATGAGGAGACAAAGAAATAGGTCCCAAATGAAAGAACAGAAAAAATCTCCAGGAAAATAACTAAGCGAAATGGAGATAAGCAACCTAACAGATACTGAGTTCAAAATACTGCTTATAAGGATGCTCAATGAACTTAGTAAGAACCTCAGTGAACTTAGTGAGGGACTCAAGAGCATAAAAAAGGAGCAGTCAGAAATGAAGGAGGCGCTAACTGAAATAAAGAATAATTTACACAGATTCAATAGTAGAGTAGGTAAAGCCAAGAAGCAAACCATTGATTTGGAATATAAGAAAGCAAAAAACACCCAATCAGAACAGCAAAAAGAAAGAATCCAAAAAAATGAGGATAGTGGAAGGAGCCTCTGGGACAACTTCAAGCGTGCTAACATTCGCATCTTGGGGGTGCCAGAAGGAGAAGAGAGAGAAGAAGAAATCGAAAACATATTTGAAACAATAATGGCAGAAAAATTCCCTAACTTGGTGAAGGAAACAGACATACAAGTCCAGGAAGCACAGAGAGTCCCAAACAAGATAAACCCCAAGAGGCCCACACCAAGACACATCATCATCAAACTCCAAAGGTTCAAGACAGAGAATCTTAAAAGCAGCAAGAGAAAGGCAGCTAGTTACCTACAAGGGAGTACCCATTAGGCTGTCAGCTGATTTCTCAAAAGAAACTTTGCAGGCCAGAAGGGAGTGGCAAGAAATATTCAGAGTGATGAAAAGCAAGAACCTACAACCAAGATGACTCTATCCTGCAAAGCTGTCATTTAGAATCAATAGCCATATAAAGACTTTCCAAGACAAGAAAAAGTTAAAGGAGTTCACCACCAAACCATTATTATATGAAATGTTAAAGGGTCTTTTTGAAGAAAAAGATAAAGTATATGAACAAACAAAATGGCAATGAATACATATCTATCAACAATTGAATCTACAAACAAAATGAACAGGCCGAACAAAAACATTCTCATAGATACAGAGAACATTTTGTTGGTTGCCAGATGGGAGGGGGGTTGGGGGAATGGGTGAAAAGGTGAAGGGATTAAGAAGAACAAATTGGTTGCTATACTGACAAACCTCAAAGAGAAGGGGGATGGTGGGGGGCATAAACCAAGGAATTTATATGCATAACCAATAGACACAGACAACAGTGTGGGGAAAGGTGGGAGGGGGTGGGAGTAGGGAGGAGGGAGCCAATGGGGAGAAAATTAGGAACATCTGTAATACATTCAACAATAAAGATTTTAAAAATAGAAAAAAATAAAATGACATTAAAAAAAAATCCCTAGTGTTGATTACAAACTTTTCTGGGATGAAGGACAGGAAGGGCAGCATTTTCTTAAATGGTATTAGTAAAGGAGGCTCTGCTGTTCTCTCTTGTCTTCTTTAAAATGGGAAGAACCTCCTGGCTGGTGTGGCTCAGTGGTTGAGCATTGACCCATGCACCAAGAGGTCGTGGGTTTGATTCCTGGTCAGGGCACATGCCCAGGTTGTGGGCCAAATCCCCAGTGGAGGACATGCAGGAGGCGGCCAATCAATGTTCTCTCCCACTGATGTCTCTCTCTCTCTCTCTCCCTTCCCCTTCCTCTCTCTCTAAACTCAATAAAGGGGAAAAAAATTAAAATAGGAAGAACAAACTATTGAAAGAACTGAATAGAGCAAACTTAGACAAAGCGAACACTAGTAACCCTTGCTCACCCTGAAGTCTGGCCACAACACAAGGATTACCTAAAGTGTCCAAAAAATATTGGCCTGAATGTTGGAAACTAAAAGGATCAGGTGCCAGAAGTCCTTCCTTCCTCTCTTTCTTTCTTTCTTTCTTTCTTTCTTTCTTTCTTTCTTTCTTTCGCTTTTTAAAAAACTTTCGTGGGAGTGACATTGGTTAACAAAATTATATGGATTTCAAGTGTACAAGTCTATCATACATCATCTGTTCATTGCATTGTGTGTTTACCACCTGAAGTCAAATCTCATCAGTCCCACAAATCCTTTCTGAATGAATGGCAGTGTTTAAACCGGACTCTTTAGCTCTGTTCTCCCACAGTATCTGATTCAAATTCATGTCTTGCCATTTTCTTTTTTCTCAAGTTATCCACTACTGTTTCATAATTGACATTTCAACTAAATGAAGTCTGGGCTGTTGAAATTTATTGATTTGGTGTTTTAGTACTAGGATATCTCTGAAGGATTTGAACTCTAAAAAGTTTGCAGAGTGGATTGTGAGGACTGTACGGCCATTCTAATAATTAAGGACAATTATGAAGGGCCTGAAAGGGTGCAGTGAAAAGGAGATTTTGGGTTAGAAATGAACTAAAAACGAACTGAATGCAGAATGTAACGAAGTTAAAAAGAGAGAAAGATGAATTGCAAACAGTAGCATGGGAATATGAGTTGACAGGGTTTCACGGGGCTCCTCGGGCAGGCTGGCTAGAATGCCGGGCTTGCTGGCTGGCCTTCTTACAGGACATCCACCATTGGGAATGTACACCAGGGGATTTACCGGCTTCAGGGGACCAAGGAGGATCATAATAAAACACGACTTCAGTGTGCCTCGGTGTGGTCTGAGAATCAGTCCAGCAGCTGTTCTTGTTGAATCAGAATATCTGATGTCCAGGGTTCTATATAGTAAACATGTCTCACTGGCGACTTTAAATTTTTTTTTTTATACAGGCCTAATGCATTCCCTTTACTTTTCTTGTATAAAAACAGTGTGGTGGCCAAAGCTGGAGCCTGAGTCCTCTACATGGACACTCTCCTGTGGATCTTGACTAGAAAGTTGATGAACTCCTAATATGGAAACTTGGTGAACATGATGGTCTCTTTAGAGGTGTGTGTGGGAGATAGCTGTAGATCTTGGAGATGGCATGAAAGGTGGCCTTGGCAAAGTTGCCCAGGGTTGTAGTGTAGCCTCTGGCTTAGCTGGCAGTGCAGCCTCTTTCATATCAGTCAACCTCGGCAGCTTCTTGGGCCAACTGGTCTAGAGAACAACAGTGCTTCTGGGAATAGGAATGGAGTGTACAGCACAGAGATGTAATTATCTGTCACCTTGCCAGGAATTTTATGGGGTGTGTGGATCTTGATCCACAGTAGCCTTGCCTCCCAGAATCTATGGAGAGAGGGGCCGGGACCATGGCTCCACACATGGTGGTGGTTATCTCTTTGGAGCTCTTAATACCCAGACCCATCTGGCCTTGAACCTGGTCCACTGGCCAGCTCAGGTCTGCTTTTGCATGGGCCTAATCTTTAAATATTTTGCCCCATTTGCCACATGTATGTATTTTTTTTCCTCTGTCATTTGAGAATAAGTTGGATACATCATACCCCTAGTGTATATTCTCTAAGAACGAAGGAGTTCTCTTAATAACTATAGCACAGTTATCATATGTAGATAGTTAACTCTGATACACTATTCTTAAGTAATTCACAGTTCATACTCAATGTCAACAAATGTCCCAACAAAATACCCTTTTGTTATAATGAAGTTTGTTGAAATAAATAGAGAGCAGCATTGAAAATTCCCTAGAAGACAAAACCAATTTAGTCATACAAACAAAGCTTAATTTAATCCAACAAAGTTTAAACTAACTTGACCTGGGTCATTTTTTGCTTGTACCTCTGAAAATGAGATTTAGAACTTGAATTATTTCCCAAGGTTGATATAAAGTAACCACTGACCAATTCCTTATCATTTCAGAAAATGCTAGTATTATAACCAATTCCTGTGAAGAATAACCAGCCACAGTTTCCTCACTATATAAACTGCTTTATAACAATATACCCCTGAATCTCATTCCATGTTATGGTTGAGTGCTTTGGTCCCAAGAACTGTCTTATTAGTGTGTGTGCAATAAACTTTTAGTGATTACTACTTCAGTGTTTCATTGGTTGTACTTTGGCTATTTCTGAACACTTGACAAGTCCAAATCTAGTATAGTTCCTCCTGATTTTATTTTTCATTCATGTCACTGACATATTTTCAAGAGTAAAAGCCAGGTATTTGTAGAAATAACTTAGTTCGGTTGTTTTTTGAGGTTTCCTCATGCAGAATTGGTGCATAAGTAACATACTGTCCCTCTCAGTACAATGCATTAGAATGTCCCTGATGCTAGTTTGTCCCAGTCTTGGTGAGGTTAATTTGACCTCTTTAATTTTAATCCCTTAATTTGGTTACAATGTTGTCTATCAGGTTTCTTCATTGTAAAATTACTATGTGTCAATTTGTGAAACATGCTTCTGAAAGCAGAGTGATCTGAACTAAAATGAAACAAAAGGTTTAGCAAACTACACAGGTAATTTTGGCAAATCAACCCAGTATTTCATGAACACTTTGAGCCATTTATGTCTTTCTGGCAGAATAAGTTTCAGGTTTTTCCTGGGAATTATACGTATCATATACCATGCTTTTATTAATGGAAACATTGGCTAGGTGCCAGATTGTGAATGTTCCAGTTAGTGTATGTTAACTTTAGGAGTTAACAGAAGGGAAAGTGAGATAAGGACCCTAGAAGCTGTGGAACAAAATTACGAAAGGCTTATAGGAAGGAAGGACAATAAGGAAACCAGTCTAAATGGAGGGTGTATGCGGGAAAAGCAGGAATTCAGGTTCACCTGGGCAGTAGGGTACAGTGTACATATTTACACATGAAATGACATGGGTTTGACTCCTGACTGCTCCTACCATCTGTAACTTGTCATTGTTGGGATTAAGTGGGCTGGTGCTTATAAAGGGCATGACACACAGGTTGGCTGGTGCAGCCTCTCGGTCGGCTGCAAGTCTGGACGTGGAAAGGGCGAAAGGGCGCTGGACGCTTTCTACCCACGGCTGCAGGACGTTTTCTCCGCGGGGGGGGGGGGGGGGGGCGTAGTGGGGCGGTCTCCCCGACAGCCCGCCCACCAGGTGCCCCGCCCTGGAGTCTCCAGTTAGTTAACTGTGTCCTTTGCCGCAGTTGTTTATTCTCCTCGGTCCCAGCCATGGCTTCGCGCCTCGTCTGCAAATCCATGCGCTTGTGGCGCGGCTGGTGCGCGCCGCGGGCCACTAGGTGAGTGCCCGCTGGCTCTGCTGATGCAGCCCCGAGGTGCGAGCCCGGGCGGCACACCCACCCTTCCGGGTGGCCAGGCCTGGCAGCTGCGGCCTGGGGCTGGGCCGCGGGGCCGGCAGAGGGTGGCACGGGGCCTGGTCCAGTGGAGCCCACAGGGGCTGTGGGAAAGCCTAAAAGGGGGTTTCTCCAAACCGTCCCGCTCCAGCTGCACTTCAGCGGTCAGGGTCCGCCGTGGGCACCCCCACCCCACCCCACCCCACCCCACCCCGCGCTGAACTTGGGCTGCGACCTTTGGCTTCAGAATGGTGACTGGAGGCCGCCGCCCACTTCGAGCTAGGTCGGGGACCCCCACCCCCTCGCGGGTCTGGGGAGAGCCGGGGCGCTGCCCTGGGCAAGTGTCTCCCGGAGGATGGTCCGGGACCAGGGAGACCTGGCATCGACGTGAGGTTTACTAACAAATGCTCGAATTAATAGAACACAGAGGAATTGGTGGAGACAGTTTCTCAGTGGTTCAGTGACTATTGGGGTAGTGCTTGTAAGATCAAAAGCTTCAGATGCCTCTGACACACAAAATCCATTCATTGGATAGACTGGAATCACTGCGGAGGGTAATCGGACAGATAAATTAGGAAAACGATGGTTAAATTATTTAGTACAGGTTCGTTGGTCTTTTTTTATTTTTAAATTTTTAGTGATTTTTTTTTTTTGAGAGAGAGATAGAAACATTGATGTGAGAGAGGAGCCGCCATTGGCTGCCTCCTGCATGCCCCACACTGGGGACCCAGCGGGCAGCCCAGGCCGGTGCCCTGACTGGAGTCCAGCGGACCTATCATTCCAGGGGACAGCTCAGCCCACTGAGCCACACCTGCTAGGTGGTTCCTGGGTCTTTAAAGTGAGAAATGGATGTTCCAAATTTGTTGCGAAATGTTTTTATTTTATTCCCTCTGCATATTCTCTCTGGGACACTTTTGACTGAACTGAAAGTCTTTATTCTTCCTGGCACTACTTTCACTTTTCTGGGTCCTGGTGTCTTTTACTTAGAAACATTCCAAATGTTTCCTTAACTTAACATGGGAATAAAAAAAAATGTAAGATCCAGACACACTTGAATATAAATTCTTCTTTTTTAGTTACTAATTATTTTGACAAATGATTCAGTGTCTTTTTTTTTTTTTTTTTATTCTCACCCGAGGACATTTTTTCGTTTTTTCTTCAGATAGAGTAGGAGGGAGAGACAGACAGAGAGAAACATCACGTGAAAGGGACACATTGAGTGGTTGCCACCCACACAACCCAACCAGGGCCTGCAGGGCTGGTGACAAACTCCAACCGAGGTACATGCCCTCAGCGGGAACTGAACCCGGGTCTCTCTAGGCAGAAGGCCTGTCGCTCTAACTGCTGAGCCAAACCAGCCAGAGCTGACTCAGTGTCTTAAAGCAGCAGTACCCTAATCTCAGCACATTATTCCCCAGAGGAGAAATCCCAAATATGGAAAACCTATGTATACAAATGTGTTCATTACAGTGTTATTTCTACTGGCAAGAAATTTGACCCAATCATTTAAATTATGGATAAAGTAATTTTAGTCTATTTGATACAACATGACAGTGGTCTGCCTGTCCTGGTCCCCCTTACATCTGACCTTGTGGCGTGAGAGAACCAGAGACCACCAGAGCCAAATTAAAGCCAAATAGAGAGCAAAGCTAGCCGGGGACTGATCCCCAGTTCTCGGAGATCACCCCCGACTTTCAGCTGATTTTTTTGTTTTATGGGGTTTGTTACAAACTTCTGCAGCTGGCATTTCTTGTTGGCCTTGGGGAAGAACAAGCAAGCAAGGACAGAAGCCGAGGCAGTTATCGATAAGTGCGGGGGAACAGGTGGGAGGGAGCTGAGGCTAAAGGGAACTGGGTGAACTGGGTCAGCACTCATCTATCCTGCTATTCATACTATTTTCTAAGTTCTAAAAACTAACACATTCGCTTAGCGGACAAATTCATTTAGAGGAGTACCAGGCCAGCTGGTACTTCCTCAGCTTGCCTCTGAAAGCTTCACAGGTGGCCTTCTGTTTATTTAATGAGGACAAGGTGCTAGGAGCAGGCCAGGACAACCTCATCTCACTGTTCTTCCCACTCTTTTCGCTCCACCCGTGCTTGATCTCCTTCCTCTATCTAGAACCCATCAGGTAACATCTTTCCACAGCACTTACTACCTTCTAACATATTATATAATTTCTTAATTTTCTCAATGTATATATATTTAAGATTTTCTCATTCCGGAAGCGAGGACCGTCTCGAAACTCCTTCTGCTAAAAAATTAACAGATATAGGAATTAGAAGAATCTTCTCTTCGGAGCATGACATTTTCCGGGAGAGCGTAAGGAAGTTTTTCCAGGAAGAAGTGATTCCTCATCACACAGAGTAAGTAGCATATTTTTCTTTAAACTAAGGAACACTAGGAGTACAATAAGTACTATTTCCTAGAATGCTGTGCTATTCTGTAGAGAAAATATTGTGTTTAGTGCTTTATAAACCTTTTTTACTGTCTTTGGTATAATACTGTAAGATTACAGGATTTTTAAGCTAATTCAAAGCTTTGTAAATGAAATGTAAAATATACAATTCTAAAAAAAGAAGGGTTGTTGGTTAAAAGGTGTGAATTTTCAGTTATAAAATAAACAAGTCATGGGCATGTGATGTGCCACATGATAACTATAGTTAATACTATCTTGCATATTTGAAATTTGATCTTAAAAGTTCTCATCACAAGAAGACAAATTGTAACTATGTATGGGGACAAATATAAACTGAACTCACTGTGGTGATTATTTTGCAATATATACAAATAACAAATTATTATGTTGTACACCTGAAAGTAATATAATGTTATATGTCAATTATATCTCAATTATAAAAAATTTGAAAATCTGCAAATCAATCTAAGAATAATATTTTTGAAAACTGAAGTGACAATATAATATTAGTCAATTTTATATTCTTTCTTTCTTTTTTTTCTCCCTTTATTGATTTTATTATTTATTTTTATTTTTATTTGTTTGATACAGATGTTTCTCCTCTTTTACCCCATTGACACCCTCATCCCCATCCCCCTCCACCCCATCCCAGGCTTTGTTGTTCATGTCCACTGGTTATGCGTACATGCATATAAGTTCTGTGATTCATCTCTTCCTTCCCCCCACCCCACCCCCTCTTCTGAGGGTTGTCAGTCTGTACCCAACTTCCACGTCTCTGGGACTACCCTATTCCTCAGACTGTTCTATTCATTATATTCCACAAATAAGTGAGATCATGTGGTATTTGTCTTTTTCTGCTTGGCTTCTTTCACTTAGGATAATACTTTCCAGGTCCCTCCATGTTGTCTCAAAAGATAAAAGATCTTTCTTTCTTACAGCTGCATAGTACTCCATTGTGTATATGTACCACTGCTTTTTTATCCATTCGTCTTCTGATGGACACTTAGGCTGTTTCCAGATCTTAGCTACTGTTAATAGTGCTGCTATGAACATGGGGATACATATATTCTTTCTGATTGGTGTTTCAGGCTTCTTAGGGTATATTCCTAGAAGTGGGATCACTGGGTCAAATGGCAATTCAATATTTAATTTATTGAAGTAAAACCATATTGTTTTCCATAGTGGCTGCACCAGTCTGCATTCCCATCAGCAGTGTACTAGAGTCCCCTTTTCTCCACACCCTTTCCAACACTTGTTTGACGATTTGTTGATGGCAGCCATTCTGACAGGTATGAGGTGATACCTCATTGTTGTTTTAATTTGCATCTCTCTGATGATTAGTGTTGTTGAGCATTTCTTCATATGTCTCTTGGCCATTTGTATGTCTTGTTTGGAGAGGTGTCTATTCAGCTCCTCTGCTCATTTTTTAATTGGGTTCTTTGTCTTCCTTTTGTTGAGTTGCATGAGTACTCTATATATTTTGGAAATTAACCCCTTATCTGATATATCATTGGCAATGATGTTCTCCCATACAGTGGGTTGCCTTTCCATTTTGATGGTTGTTTCTTTTGCTGTGCAGAAGCTATTTAGTTTGATGTAGTCCCATGTGTTCATTTTTTCCTTTGTTTCTGTTGCCTTAGGTGATGTATCAGTGAAAATTCTGCTGTGTATGATGTCTGAAATTTTGTTGCCTACATTTTCTTCTAGGATTTTTATGGATTCATGGATCACATTTAAGTATTTTATCCATTTGGAGTTTATTTTTGTGTATGGTGTAAGTTGATGGTCTAGTTTCCTTTTTTTTTTTTTTTGCATGTAGCTGTTCAATTTCCCAACACCATTTATTAAAAAGGCTGTCTTTACTCCACTGAATGCTCTTGCCTCCTTTGTCAAATATTAATTGAGCATAATTTCTTGAGTCCATTTCTGGGTTCTCTGTTCCACTGGTCTATATGCCTGTTCTTGTGCCAGTACCAGGCTGTTTTGATTACAGTCGCTTTGTAGTATAACCTGATATCTGGCATTGTGATCCCACCTACTTTGTCCTTCTTTTTCAAGATTTCTGTGGCTATTCGGGGTCTTTTTTGGTTCCATATGAACTTTTGAAGTATTTGTTCTAGTTCTGTGAAATATGTCATTGGTATTTTGATGGTGATTGCATTGAATCTATACGTTGCTTTGGGTAATATGGACATTTTAATGATGTTAATTCTTCCAATCCATGAGCAAGGTATGTGCTTCCACTTTTTTATATCTTCCCCTATTTCTTTTTTCAATGTCCTGGAGTTTTCTGTAAATAGGTCCTTTACTTCTTTTGTTAAGTTTATCCCTATGTGTCTTAATTTTTTGCCATGATGGCAAATGGGATTTTTTTTTTTAGTTTCTCTTTCTGTGAGTTCATCATTGGTATATAAGGATGCCGTCAATTTCTTGATGTTAATTTTGTATCCTGCTACTTTGCCAAATTCATTTATTAAGTCTAGTAGATTTTTCATGGAGTCTTCAGGGTTTTCTATGTATAATATCATATCATCTGCATATAATGACAGTTTCACTTCCTCCTTTTCAATTTGGACCCCTTTTATTTTTTCTTCCTGTCTGATTGCTGTGGCTAAGACTTCCAGTACAATGTTAAATAAGAGTGGTGAAAGTGGGCATCCCTGTCTTGTTCCTGTTCTTAAAGGAAATGCTTTTAGTTTCTGCCCATTGAGTATGATGTTGGCTATAGGTTTTTCATATATGGCCTTTATTATGTCGAGATATGATCCTTCTATTCCCAAATTGCTGAGCGTTTTTATCAGAAATGGATGCTGGATTTTGTCAAATGCTTTTTCAGCATCTATTGATATGATCATGTGGTTTTTATTCTTCATTTTATATATGTGGTGTATCACATTTATTGATTTGCAAATATTGTACCAGCCTTGCATCCCTGGGATGAATCCCACTTGGTCATGGTGAATATATATATATATTTTTTTATCCTCACCCGAGGACATTTTTCCATTCAGATAGAGTGGGAGGAAGAGAGAGGTAAAGAGAGAGAGAGAGAAACATTAACACAAAGGGGACACATCAGGTGGCTGCCACCCACATGACCAACCAGGGCCAGGGACAAACTGCAACCGAGGTACGCGCCCTTAGCGGGAACCAAACCCCGGTGTCTCTGGACCACAGGCCAATGCTCTAACCGCTGAGCCAAACCGGCCAGGGCGGTGAATAATTTTTTGATGTATTACTGGATCTGATTTGCTAGTCTTTTGTTCAGGATTTTGGTGTCTATGTTCATTAGGGATATTGGCCTGTAGTTTTCTTTCTCTGTAGTGTCCTTGTCTGGTTTTGGAATTAGAATTATGCTGGCCTCATAAAACAAGTTTGGAAGTCTTCCCTCTTCTTGAATTTTTTGAAATAGTTTGAGGAGAATGGGTGTTAGCTCTTTTTTGAATGTTCGGTAAAACTCCCCCATGAAGCCATCTGGGCCTGGGCTTTTGTTTGCTGGGAGAGTCTTGATTACCTCTTCAATTTCCTTAGTTGTTATTGGTCTGTTCAAGATTTCTGTCTCATCGCGGTCCAGTTTTGGGAGACTATGTGTTTCTAGAAATTTGTCCATTTCATTTAGATTGTCAAATTTGTTGCCATATAATTGTTCATAGTAGTTGTTAACAGTCTTTTGTATTTCTGTGGTGTCAGTTGTTACTTCTCTTTCATTTCTGATTTTGTGTATTTGGGTTCTCTCTCTTTGTTTATTGGTGAGTCTAGCTAAGGGTCCATCAATCATGTTTATTTTTTCAAAAATCCAGCTCTTTGTTTCATTAATCCTTTGAATTGTTTTTTGGTCTCTATGTCATTTATTTCTGCTATGATCTTTATTATTTCCTTCCTTCTCCTTGCTCTGGAGTTTTCTTTCTGTTTGCTTTCTAGTTCTTTAAGTTGTGAGGTTAGATAGTGTATTAGAAATTTTTCTTGTGCCTTGAAGTAGGCCTGTAGTGCTATGAACTTCCCTCTCAGAACTGCTTTCGCTGCATCCCACAGATTTTGTGTTGTGGGGTCTTCATTTTCACTGGTTCTAGGAAGTTTTTAATTTCTTCCTTGATCTCCTTGATAACCGATTCATTGTTTAATAACATGCTATTTAGTCTCCATGTGTTCAAATGTCTTTGCATGTTCTTTTGCACACATGCAATTGATTTCTATTTTCATGCCATTGTGATCTGAGAAGATGTTTGATATGATTTCAATCTTCTTGAACTTGTAGAGACTTAGTTTGTGTCCTAACATGTGGTCTATCTTTGAGAATGTCCCATGTGCACTTGAGAAGAATGTGAATTCTCTAGTTTTGGGTGTAATTCTCTGTAGATATCTATTAAATCCATTTGGTCTAGTGCTTCATTTAGAGTCTGTGTTTCCTTGTTAATTTTTTGTCTAGAGGATCTATCCAGTGATGTCAGTAGGGTGTTAAAGTCCCCTGCTATGATTGTATTGCTGTCAATTTCTCCTTTGAAGTCCTTCAGAAGATTTTTAATATATTTTGGTGCTCCTATATTAGGTGCATATATGTTTATCAAGGTTATACCTTCCTGTTGCATAGATCTTTTCAATATTATGTAGTGGCCTTCTTTGTCTCTAGTTATGGCCTTCATTTTAAAATCTAATTGATCAGATATGAGTATTGCTACCCCAGCTTTTTTTTCTTTTCCTTTTGCTTGGAAGATTTTTTTCCATCCCTTCACTTTCAACCTATGTGAGTCTTTTGTTGTGAGGTGGGTCTCTTGTAAACAATATATAGATGAGTCATGCTTTCTTATCTTTCAATCTGCTACTCTGTGTCTTTTTATCAGAGCATTGAGTCCATTTACATTTAAGGTGATAATTGATATGTACTTATTTATTGTTATTTTTGTTTAGTGTGGTTCTATATTTTTTTCCTATTTCTTCTACTAATTACAGCAATCCTTTTAACATTTCTTGCAGTGCTGGTTTGGTGCTAATGTATTCCCTTAGCCTTTTTCAGCTGGGAAGCTCTTTATGTGATCTTCTATTTTGAATGATAGCCTTTCTGGGTAGAGTAGTCTTGGATTCCGATCCTTGTTTTTTAAGACCTTGATTACTTCATGCCATTTCCTTCTGGCCTATAGTGTTTCTTGTGAGAAGTCAGCTGAGAGCCTTATGGGGTTTCCTTTGTAGGTAACCTGTTGCTTATCTCTTGCTGCTTTTAGGATTCTCTCTTTGACTTTAATTTTTGGCAGTTTGATTACTATGTGTCTTGGTGTGGGCCTGTTTGGGTTCTTCTTACTTGGGGCTCTCTGTGCTTCTTGAACTTGAATGCCTTCTTCCCTCACCAAATTAGGAAAGTTTTCTGTCACTATTTCTTTGAATATATTCTCTAACCCTTGCTCATTTTCTTCTTCTTCGGGGACTCCTATGATGCGAATATTATTCCATTTCCAGGTGTCCCACAGTTCTCTTAATCTGTCTTTCTGTTTTTTAATCATTTTTTCCTTTTGGTTTTCTGATTGGTTGATTTTTTCTAGCCTGTCTTCTAATTCACTGATCCGGTCCTCAGCTTCCACTACTCTGCTTTTTCGACCTTCCAATGTGTTTTTCATTTCTGATATGTCATTTTTTATCTCTTCTTGGTGGTTTTTAATTTCCAGTTGGTTGATTTTCAACATTTCTATGTCTTTACTCATGGTGTTGATGTCCTTACTCATGCTATTGAGCTTCCTCAAGAGCATGGCTCTGAATTCTAGCTCTGTTAACTTGCTTAACTGCTCCTCATTTATCTCATCTTTGGTAGAGTTCTCTTGTTCTTTCATTTGGCTTTTGTTTCTTTGTTTTACCATTTTGGCTATCACAGTGGGCTTTGGAGCCTGCCAAATTTTCCCTGTGGGTGTTAGTGTTCTTCTGTTTGTGGCTTCCTTTCCTGGGTTTGGATGAGCGAAGGAAGACCCACGTTAAACATCGCTGTCAAGTCTTACTTTCCTGGTTAGAGTTGCTAGCCCAGGAATGGTTCAGTTATCCTCTAGCTTTTTGCCTGGAGGCTATCAGTAGGGGTTACTTGAAGAGCCTTGGGTTCTCAGTTGAATGAAAACTCCCTCAGGTGTTCAGTGTAAGGGGATTTCCTGAGGGTGAGGCAGATGCTGGTTATTAATGAGCCTCAATTTGTATTTCAATGGCCCACCAGGTGAGGTTGAATATCCGAGGGAGAGTCTGCTGCCTCTCTCCAAAGCCCTGGGAATGAGTAAGATGGCCACCATCCTGTGTGGCTGCAACTCAGCAAAAGCACTGAGTGCCCTCCAAATCCCGAGTGTCCCCAAACAGTTCTAGTCTAGTCTGCCCTCCCTCTGCCGGAGCCCAAGGTGAGTAGCTGTGGCTATTTTAGCGTCTGTTGTGGCTCTGGGCTGTGGAGCCTCTTGGGAGTTTAACCCCAAGGGTGCTGCTCACAGCTAAGGCCACTGCCGACCATGGGCTCCTAGCCCCCCTCTTGTGCTTCTGCAATCCTACCAGGATTGAGTCAGTGTCCCTGGTTATATGGTCCTTGCAAGCTGCTTTTCTGTTGCTTTTTCCCAACGATTCGTCTTTATTTTAGTTGTAATTCCAATTTGGTCCTGGGAGACGGTCTGTGTAGCTTTCATTCACTCTGATGCCATTTTCTCTCCCTTTATTGATTTTAGAGAGAGAAGAAGTGAAAGGGAGAGAGAGATAAAAACATCAATGAGCGAAAACATCTGTTGGTTGCCTCCTGCATGCCCCCCACTAGGGATCGGGCCACAACCTGGGCATGTGTCCTGGCCAGAAATCATACCAGTTACCTCTTGGTGCATGGGTTGATGCTCAACCACTGAACAGCACCAGCCGGACTACATTCTTTCTTTAAATTGCTTCTTGGATGGATTAAAATACATAAAAGCTCAAAAGGCCAGCATAATGCAAATCTTGGTAGGCAACTGGCTACCTCAAAGTATTTTTATTACTGATTAAGATTAATTACTTAATTAATGATCACCTACTATACTGACCAAAAACTGTCATTTCTATTAAAATAGGATTTTGCTATATTTTCAAAATTTACTCAATGCCAATACTTTCCTGCAATAAGAATGTTTAGTTTTGTTGTTTTTATCCTCACTAGAGGATATTTTTTCATTGATTTTTTGGATAGAGTGGAAGGTAGGCATGGAGTGGGGGGAGAGAGAGAGAGAAACATAGGTGTGAGAGACACATCAACAGGTTGCCTCCTGATGACCCCAACCGGAGCCAGGAATCAAACCTACAACCCTTTGGTCCTCGGGCCAACTCTCTGACCACTGAGCCAAACCAGCCAGGGCTAGAATGGTTTTTTGTTGTTGTTGTTGTTTATGTTATCCTCACCCGAGGACATTTTTCCATTTTTTGTTCAGATAGAGTGGGGAGAGAGAGAGAGAAAGAAATATCAACATGAAAAGGACACATCAAGTGGTTGCCACCCACATGACCCAACCAGGGCCGGAGACAAACTGCAGCCGAGGTGCATGCCCTTAGCGGGAACTGAACCCAGGTCTCTCTGGACCGCAGGCCGACGCTCTACCACTGAGCCAAACCGGCCAGGGCGCTAGAATGGTTTTTTAAAATTATTTAGAAATAGCTTCTATTAAGTTATTATTAATACTTCTTGGTAAGATTGGCCAAAACTAGCTAAACTCTGGTGCCATAAATAACTAGTCTTTGGTGAAAAGCCGCTAGCTTCTTAGGACAAAATAAATGTAGTATACTTCTCTCTAAGATAATTTTTTGTTCATTTCCTTACTCTTTTAAATTGTGTTCCAGAAATTTGTTGGTGAGAACTTGAAATAAACATGATATAAAGTGACAAATTGGAGTCAATAATAAAAATATTTCCAAAACTACTTCTGGCGGTATACAAAACAACACGTGATACTCAAACTCTTTCCTTTAAAATGTCTTGAGATACCGTTTACCTTTAATCCGTGTTTTCAAATACCCTGTATCTTACTAACTATACCTAACTACCACTTTTAATTAAAAAAAAATTTTCAGAGTCTTTGACTATCTCCAGCTAGCCATATCTTTCTTCATCATGCTATTCTCATTTCTAAAGAAAAGTTAGAGGTCGCACCATCTTATCCAAACATCATCCTTTCAAAAGTTCATTTGGCAGAGCTATGCTGCAAGGTGCTTCTGGTCTTCTACTGTTTCACTTAAACTGTTATAATGGTGACTCTTCTTGTCAGTCTTTATATATGCTTATCCCGTAAGTTCAGCACTTTAAGGAAATATGCAAAAGGCAAATTCCATGATTATAGGACACAAGTAAGCATACCGCCTAGGAGTACCAGCTGAGAGAGACCACACCCATGAATATTAGTGGATGCAATTTGCAGGTCAAACAAATAGGAAGGAGGGGGAGCAGGTGGAAAAAAGTGGCAAATATGAAGCGAACAAGAGAGAGGAGGAATAATAAAAGAGTCAGATGCAAATAGAAGGGTATGGATGATCTCAACATACCTTAAATTAAAAGAGCATTTCTGCACAGAAACATTCATGAATTTCAGTTGTCACATTTTAAAATAATATGAAAATAGCTTTTCTGATTTTAAAACATTTGTTATTTGCAGATGGGAGAAAGCTGGAGAAGTGAGTAGGGAGATTTGGGAAAAAGCTGGAAAGCAAGGACTACTTGGTGTCAATATTGCAGAGCGTCATGGTGGCATCGGTGGGGACTTGTTCTCGACCGCTGTTGTTTGGGAGGAGCAGTAAGTATGGGGACATTTGAAGTTGAGTCTTGTTTGTAAGCACACTGCTCACCTTTTTGAGATGATGAAAAGGAATGCTTTCTAAGCCTTTTATGAGACTGAAGATTCTGTGTAAAATGTGAAGGTGTATACCACCCATACACTCTTGCACATATTTTTCTAATGTGGGAAGGTAGAAAAATTCTCTTTTAAGTTCTTTAAATAGGTGCTGTTGAAAATTAAAGAGATAGTATAATTTCTAATTGACCCATCTGGTTATTTTTCTCTCTTTTAAAAAGATATTTGATAGAGAACAGAAGAGTGGAAAAAATATTTCCATCAAATATATTAAAAATGTTAAATAGAACACATCAAGGTTTTAGCTGATAAACAAGCAAAAGATTTAAACCAATAATTCAGCAAAAAAGAAATGCAAATAGGTTTTTTAGATGAAAAGAAGTTCATCCCTACTATACGAATCAAATGCAAATTAAATTAACCAGGAGTATCATTTTGAGTATATACAAAGTTAGTGGGGGCAGGGGGATCATAACACCTGCTGCTGACTAGGTTGCAGTGAAAGTGACATACTCCTATACTCTTGGTGGCATTATAAGGAAGAACAATAAATGTTTTGGGGATTAAAAATATGATACATAAAAAAAAATAAAAATATTTCTGCTCTTTGAGCTAGGAAGCCACTTTGGGGGATTTATCTTAAGGAAATAATGGAAAAATATATCAGCTATGTAGAGAAACAATTATCATGGTAGATCAAAATCCCCTCAAGTTTGGAAGCAATTTAAATGTCTGGCAGAAGGAGAATGAAAAGATAAATTATAGTACATAAGCAATTTGTAATATTTTGTAGCTATTGAAAATTATTATTTTGACAGCTATATAAAATAGAGGATTTTTTCATATAATCTAAGAAGTCACGCCATGGCTGCAGCTGTATTAAATATATTGTTATGGTAAAGATAATTTGCCAAAATGAAAATAGTTGCTGTGTTAGATAATATACTTGTAGGTGATTAATATTTTTTAATGTTTTATATTTTTATTCACTAAATACATGTTCATCAAGCTTTATTAGAGTACTATTATTATGTTAGAGCCAGAAATGAAATGAATAGTAAAAACTAAGAGAGAGAGCCTTCAGGAACTTTAGCAGTTTGGGGGGAGTCTGGCTATTACAACACCAAGACCTTTAATATTTTGTTGTTTTTTAAATCCTCACCGAAGGATATTTTTCCATTTATCTTCAAATAGAGTAAGAGGGCAGGAGCGAGGGAAGAAGGGAGAGAGAGAGAGACATCAATGTGAGAGAGACACATCGATTGGTTGCCTCCCACATGACCCCAAACAGGGCCGAAGACTGAGGCGAAACCGAGGTATGTGCCTTTGACCGGAATTGAACCAGCAACTCTTTGGTCTGCAGGCCAATGCTCTACCACTGCGCCAAACCAGCCAGGGCAATATTTTGTTGTATTAATTGAAAATCAGAGAAATAAAGAACAGAATAACTATTTCGTGCTTTAAATTTTCTTCTTTTTCTTCCTAAGAGCATATTCGAATTGTACAGGCCCATGTTTTAGTCTTCATTCAGATATTGTCATGCCCTATATTGCAAACTATGGCTCAGAAGAACAGATTAAGCGCTTCATCCCCCGGATGGCTGCAGGGAAATGGATTGGCGCCATAGCCATGACGGAGCCTGGGGCTGGAAGGTAAATAAATGATCACTCCATTGCTTTTGAGGTCTAGGAACCAATGCTCTACTAGCAGATATTTTCTGCTTGCTTTATACAAAACTGAGCAGTATGCTAGGAGGAATGCAAAGATGAATACAGTGTAATTCAGACCTTCAAGTAACTTCAAATGCTAATAGGAAAATAAGGCCTTATATATAAATAGCAATAAAGCAGATGATAATATCTACTGTGTTTGAGATTTTATTTACATAGTGTGATGCAAATAAAATGGTAGGATATGAGTTGAATTTTGGGCACGATGAACTTTGGATGTGGTGTGACATTCACATGGAAATGTTCAGCAGGCTCTTAAAATACAGATTTGAAACTCTGGATCGAGGCTGGTGTGGCAATAGGTTTTAAAAGCCATTCATAAAAATGAATAAGTTTTTTATTCAGTCATTTGGTGGTTACTTAGTAAGACCATGTAATGTGCCATGTATACAGTGGTGAACAAAACAAGTGCAGCTTGTGTGCTTATTGAGGAGAATGAAGAGAAACAAATAAAGAAGAATATTCCCAGTTATAAACTGTGATAAGTACTATGCAGAAAACAAGGTGCTATGCTAGAGACGAGTGGTGCATGTAAGTTTGGTAGGGAAAGGAAAAACAAACTTAGATAGGAATGCTAGAGAAAGCCAATAAAAAGTGGTTATGTTTATACTGACATCTGATGAATGACAAATAACCAGTTATTTAAGAATGGGGTGAAAAGCTTCCACGCGGTAGAACCAAATCTTCAGGGGGTAAAGTGAAAGGGTGGAAAGCTTGAGTATTATGTTTCCCTTGAACCTGTACCAAAAAAATAATAATAATAAAATAAAATGTGACAACAGAGACATAAGGATTGAGTTTGAAGGAAATCTAGACAAGTGTGCCATCAGGAACACAAGTGGAAGTAAGTTTGAAAAGGCTGTAGGATAGGAGTGAAGAGTTAGTAATGTCAAGGCCACAAGGAGGTTAAAAGAATTAAGAAAAGGTCATGGCACACTACTGGTGACCTTTTGATTGTGATTTCAGTACAATCGAGAGGAAGGACTTTGGAAGGAGTGCTATGGGTATTGAGAAAGAAGGCAGAGGATACAGACTAATGGTTTTCAGATTGGGTGGTGAAAGGAGGTATAGATGGGACAGCGGTTCGAGGAGCCAGCACCGTAAGGGTGCGGGTCTCTGTTAAGGAGAGTGACTGGCAGGCCTACGGGAAACAAGCAATGCAGAGGAAGAACGTAAAGATGTGTCCAAACAACAAAGTAGGTGGGATCACAATACCAGATATCAGGTTATACTACAAAGTGACTGTAATCAAAACAGCCTGGTACTGGCACAAGAACAGGCATATAGACCAGTGGAACAGAACTGAAAACCCAGAAATGGACCCAAGGCAATATGCTCAATTAATATTTGACAAAGGTGGCAAGAGCATACAGTGGAGTAAAGACAGCCTCTTTAATAAATGGTGTTGGGAAAATTGGACAGCTACATGCAAAAAAAGGAAACTAGACCATCAACTTACACCATACACAAAAATAAACTGCAAATGGATAAAATACTTAAATGTGACCCGTGAATCCATAAAAATTCTAGAAGAAAATGTAGGCAACAAAATTTCAGACATCATACACAGCAGAATTTTCACTGATACATCACCTAAGGCAACAGAAACAAAGGAAAAAATGAACACATGGGACTACATCAAACTAAAAAGCTTCTTCACAGCAAAAGAAACAACCATCAATATGAAAAGGCAACCCACTGTATGGGAGAGCATCATTGCCAATGATGTATCGGATAAGGGGTTAATTTCTAAAATATATAGAGTACTCACGCAACTCAACAAAAGGAAGACAAAGAACCCAATTAAAAAATGGGCAGAGGAGCTGAATAGACACCTCTCCAAACAGGACATACAAATGGCCAAGAGACATATGAAGAAATGTCAACATCACTAATCATCAGAGAGATGCAAATTAAAACAACAATGAGGTATCACCTCACACCTGTCAGAATGGCCGCCATCAACAAATCATCAAACAACAAGTGTTGGCGAGGGTGTGGAGAAAAGGGGACTCTAATACACTGCTGGTGAGAATGCAGACTGGTGCAGCCACTATGGAAAACAATATGGTGTTACCTCAAAAAATTAAAAATTAAACTTCCATTTGACCCAGTGATCCCACTTCTAGGAGTATACCCTAAGAAGCCTGAAACACCAATCAGGAAGAATATATGTACCCTCATGTTTGTAGCAGCACTATTTAGAATAGCTAAGATCTGGAAACAGCCCAAATGTCCATCACTGATTTTTAGAGAAAGGGGAAGGAAGAGAGAGAAAAAAACATCCATGTGAGAAAGAATGTCAGTCAGCTGCCTCCCATACTCACTCCAACCCCGGGGATCGGACCTAAGTTTGTGCCCTGACCAAGAATGAAAACTACAACCTTTTGGCCTACAGGATTTCGCTCCAACCAACTGAGCCAGGACTTTTTTTTTTAATCCTCACCCAAAGATACTTTTCCACCTATCTTCAGATACAGAGGGAGGGAGAGACAGAGAGAAACATCACTGTGAGAGAGATACATCGATGGGTTGTCTCCCATGCGACCCGACCAGGGCAGGGGACCAAACCGCAACCAAGGTGCATGCCCTTGACTGGAATCGAACCCGCAACTCTTTGGTCCACAGGTGGATGCTGTAACTGCTAGGCCAAACCAGCCAGGGCAGGCCAGGGCTATTAAAAAAAAATTTTTTTTTTCTTTATTGATTTTAGAGAGAGGGGAAGGGGGAGAGAAAGAGAGATAGAAATATCGATGAGAGGGAACAATTGGCCACATTCTGCATTCCCCCCACTGAGGATTAGGCCCACAACTTGGACATGTGCCCTGACTGGGAATCAAACCAGACCTCTTGGTGCATGGGTCAGTGCTCAACCACTGAGCCATACTGGCTGGGCACCAGGGCTATTTTTAAATGTCTTACTATTTCATAGTGTCACTTGACAAAATGCTTAAATTGTATTTATCTTGCTCAGATATAAAACTATAATTACAAGCCAATACTGACACTTAATTTTGCCAAAATAAAAGGATTTTGCTTCTTTTCCCTAAACATGTCCAGTAATAGAGATAGCGATTTAATCTGCATCCTTTGTTTTTAAGATAATTCTCTGAGATAACTGGCTCACAGCCCCGTTTCCGCTGCATCACGGGTACTGTGTTCCAGTTCCAGCCTGCTTCATGTTCTCTCTGACCTGGAACAACAGAAAAAGCGCGATCCTAACTGACCTCCCACTTAACTCAAACAAACAAAGGCTTGCTTGATTCTTGCTTATTGAAATCCTCTGTCCTCATCTGTGGTTATGTAATTATGGAAGAAACTGAGAGGAGGAATGGAGAGAAAGAGGCAGATTTTCTGGAAGCTATTTTGGTGAGAGTCATGGAAAGACAGCCAAGCAGTTTGATATTTAGAGACAGGAAGGGGCCTGTGGGTAAGAGAATGCGAGAATGGGGAAAAGCTGCCCGGGCAGAAGATTCGAGCTGTGAGGAATCACAGTGAGAAATAAGGAAAACACATGTGGGAGGGACAGAGTGAAGAAGATGAGACGTGGTTCATCTCACCTGCTTCCAGAGCCGGCTTGGCCTCTCTGTTTTCTTGCTTTGATTTGACCTGCACAGAAAAAGGTTGAGTTTGCTGAAAAAGATGCAGGGCTTCCCTGGTCCTTTCCCCGGTCCTTCCCCCGGTCCTTCCCCCTTCCACGTACATAGGAGACGCCATTGTGTCTAATTATGTACAATTGTATAATGCTTTAACATTTTATATGCTTTCATGTTGATGTTCTTATTTGACTGTCATAATATCTCTAAAATATAGAGATCGTGTGATCCCTCTGTAAAGAAAATCCACCTCTTGCCCTGGCCGGTTTGGCTCAGCGGTTAGAGCATCGGCCTGTGGTCCGGAGAGACCCGGGTTCGGTTCCCGCTAAGGGCATGTACCTCGGTTGCGGTTTGTCCCCGGCTCTGGTCAGTCGTGCGTGTGGCAGCCACTCGATGTGTCCCTTCACATTGATGTTTCTCTCTCTCTCTCTGTTCCTCTCTCCCCCTCCTACTCTACCTGAACAAAAAATGGAAAAATGTCCTCGGGTGAGGATAAAAAAAAAAGAAAATCCACCTCTTGCTTCTTCCATCTCCTGGGGGCTGATGGGATTCCCTGCCTTGTGATCTCCTCACTCCAGCCTCTGAGTTGTGGTCACCTGTCCCTGGCTTCTGTCTGCAATCTCGCTCTGCCTCGCTCTCATAAGATCAATTGTGACTGCATTTAGGGCCCATCTAGATAATCCCAAATAATCTTCCCGTCTCAGATTACACAACTGCAAGACCCTTTTCCCATATAAGGTAGCACTTGCAGGTCCAGGGATTGGGGCCTGCCATCTCTGGGGGTCACTAGTCATTATAGGATATTTTGAACTGGCAGCTAGCTAAATGTTAAACAATAAGAGACTGCTTTTAAAAAATTATGATAAATCCAGAGGAAGAAATTCTGTGCTCTAATAAAATGTATCTTACAGACAAACATTAGATATTAGTAAGAGTTCAAAATCATATGTGTGGTTTTGTTTTTATAAAAATGGATATATGGTTGTATCTGTTTCCCTAGAGAAATACGAAAAGAATATACTTTTTAAATGTTCATTCTGGGAGGTAAATTATTTATTAAATTGTTTTCTCCTTTGTCTAGAATACTGTCTGTATTTTTCATATTTGAATTATGAATATTTGTTTATATTAAAAATATAAATTATTTTATATTTAGAAAAATAATCTACTTAGAGAGGAGGCTTGTTAGAGGAAGTGGCCTTTGGAACACAGTCTTTTAACTAGCTGAGCTTTTGATCAGTAGAGATGGGGAATGCAACCAAGGTGAATGGAGGCAGGCAAATACAACGTGGCAAATGATTTCAGGGGTAGAGTAGGCCTTGAAAAGTCATCCGAGTGCAATTTAGGGGTCTTGAATGCTTGTTGGGCCTTGTTATGCTCTATAATATCTGGCCAGTTTATGTAACTTTAAATCATATATTTATTTGTATAAATGATTTAGAGTATAATATATATAATTTTTAATGCATTTTTGTGAGCATGTCTTATATTAAAGATCGATTTGTATCATGGTATAACCAGTCTGAATGATCATATTATATATATACTTATCTAACAACATTGGTATAATTCAGTTTTTATTAATTAACAAAATTTTCATCCTTTTTTTCCATTTCAGTGATTTACAAGGAGTAAGAACAAATGCCAAAAAGGATGGGAGTGACTGGATTCTTAATGGCAACAAGGTGTGTGGCGAGGGCCTTCTGTGGCCTTCTCTGCAGGCATGCCAGGGGTAACGGTGTCTCAGGGCTGCTGAGTATTGACTCTGTCATATCTAGGGAGCCTCACACAGGAACTGAGATTATTAGAGTTCACACAGGAATGCTGCAACATTTGTATCACATAAGATCTGTTCCATTTCTGTTTTTGTTTTGCACGTTCCCTCACTAATAGAGAAAATGTTGTTTTAGATTCTAAGCAACACTCATCAAACCAAAAAAGGGGAAGGTAAGGCTCACATTGATCAAATAGGGACAAACAATAGTTAGTAAATTTGATGTGGATGAGAAACTGGGGAAAATGCTTTCTTATATTATCAAGAAGAGTTTCAGATCTTAGGCGAGAAAGATATCTTTGATAAAATTTGAGAGTCCTTCAGTCCTTCTGAGAGTCACAGCAACCTTCCCACTGATAAAATTGGAAGGCTTCTTCAATTAAGGTTACAGACAGGCTCAAGAGTAAAGTATATCCTTTAGAATCTCATATCACGATGGCAGAGGATTTGTCTGCCTAGAACTGTGTATGGTATATACTCAGTAAATAGTTGTCGACTGAGTGTTAAGAAAAGATGTTAATTTTCTGTATGCCTGCACAGGCTTCATTCTTTGAAGCATTGGGTTATTTTCCTTCTACTCCTTAATAACCTTATGCATCGGACACTTCAGGTACTTGGATAGAATATAGAGTTATAAAGCATGTCTTGTCTGGTTTAGGCTTCTCGAATATATTTTCCCGTAACCATGACTTGCTCGTGGACTTGGATTATTGTGGAGCATCACGGTGTTCTTGGGGTTTTCCAGGTGTTCATTACTAATGGGTGGATGAGTGACGTTGTGATTGTAGTGGCAGTCACAAATCGTGAAGCTCGCTCTCCCGCCCACGGCATCAGCCTTTTTCTGGTGGAAGATGGAATGAAAGGATTTATCAAGGGACGAAAGCTACAAAAGATGGGAATGAAAGCCCAGGTAAATTATAATATAAATCATATTCAGGTAATAATTGAGGTTACTTGGTTTTTATAAGAAATTGTTGTTTATAAATAATTGCATTTACTTGATTATGCCATATATATATATATATATATATATATATATATATCTGCATAAAGCTGAATTCCTAAAATATGCTTTTCAGATATGATAATGGAGATTTTATTCCATCCTTCATGCAACTTTATCTCCTTCTGGTGGTTGTCAATAAAAGTGAGGCTATCTTAAATACCTACTTTAGAAATGACAAAATTAACTACATGATAAAAGGCCCTCTGTTTATGAAATTGATGAAAGAAAATTATGAAATTAGAACAGAACATTTTTTTCTATTATTTGGAAATTACTTGCTAAGTTTTTTATTACTGAAGAAAACATTTTACTTAACGTGCATTAGAAATCCTTAGTCCTCAGTATCTACAGAACTGGACAGTACCGGAGCTAGAATGACAGTGTATCGCAGTGGGAAAGCCAGAAGTTTGGGAATCAGATAAACCTGGGTTTAAATCCCTGGTTTACCACTTACTAGTTGTGTTCATTAACCACTCCAACTTGGCTCCCAGTTTGTTTGTTTGTTTGTTTGTTTGTTTGTTTAATGGAAATAATATCCTCATCAGGTAATTGTGAGATTTAAATGAAATAATTCTGTACTTAACTGTATGATCTCTTAGGACACTGCAGAATTATTCTTTGAAGACGTACGGTTGCCAGCTAGTGCCCTACTTGGAGAAGAGAATAAAGGCTTCTATTACCTCATGCAAGAGCTTCCCCAGGTGAGAAGTATTAAAGATTCAGTCTTTTGATGAGATAAGGGACTGGAATCGAATAATATCGAACCATATAAATCCATGCATACAAAAAAAAAACAAAAAAAAACGTGATATAGCCAGTCATTTGACCATAACTTAAATTGTTAAAAAAGTATGAATTTTGCCCTCGCCAGTTTGACTCAGCAGTTAGAGCATCAGCCTATGGACCAGAGAGTCCCAGGTTCGGTTCCCACTCAGAGCATGTATCTCGGTTGCAGTTTGTCCCTGGCCCCTGTTGGGGTCGTGTGGGTGGCGACCACTGAATGTAGCTCTCTCACACTGATGTTTCTCTCTCTTTCTCCTTTCCTCTCTCCCTCCCGCTCTATCTGAAGATAAATGCAAAAATGTCCTTAGGTGAGGATAAAAAAGAAAGTATGAATTTTGTAGGCTAGAAAAGTAAATAACTGAACTCAGGGATATTCAGTCAAAGCTTACAAGTGAGTAGGGAAAATAGGTATTTCAGTTCTTTGATTTCTTCTTGGAATGATTTTAGCTTCTGAACCACAAGTCAAGAATTTTTATCTTAACCAAGGTGATTTCCTCTCTGAGGTGCCTAACCGTGCCCTCTTCGGGAAAGTCCAACTGGAATAAGATCCGAGAGGCCTCAGGTTTTCAGAGGGGAAGGTGGTGCGCCATTTCCTTTGGCTGCCGGCATGTACACCTCAGTCCCAAGTTCCTTCTGGGTAGATTTGGCCCTCTTCACACTTGCATGCTGAAGGAAAAAAGAGAATCTATATCTCTTCGTAAGGAAATATTAGCCAAAACATCACCTGGTGTTTTTTGTTTGTTTGTTTTTGTATTTTTTAATAACATCTGGGAATCAAAGGGGGAAACTGTGAAGTTCAGACTGAATAGTTTCAGCCACAGAGGGTCAGCCCTCATATCTGTGTTTTTGGAGTGTGGTTGCTGAGTGATCACTGAGCCTTACATGCCAGCATAAGAGGCTGCACCTGCCTAGCAATTGCCACAGCATGGGCTAAACATGACACTGGGGACAAGGGCCAGGAACACTGGCACAGAAATGGAATGTGAAGATCACCAGCAAGATGGAATTAAACTGACAGGGGATGCTTTTATACAGATAGGCAGAATTTAACCTATGCACTTTAAAATGTTGTTTTCCACAAATATTGTAGAACATGTGCTGTGCAGAGATAGATAATTAAAAATCAATAACTTCAGAATTTCTTTTCTCCTACAGTTAAGAGAAGAGGGAATTTAATAAGTTTTATATATATATATATATATATATATATATATATATATATGACAGTCATAATAATAAAGGATTAGCTTTAGGGAGTTATTACAGATGTCAAAATTTTCTTATAAAATTTTAACTTTATATTAACTTTTTTTTTTTTTTTTTTTAATCCTAACCCGAGGACATTTTTCCACTTTTTGTTCAGGTAGAGTGGGAGGGAGAGAGAGGAACAGAGAGAGAGAGAGAGAAACATCGATGTGAAAGGAACACATCGAGTGGCTGCCACCCGCACAACCAACCAGGGCCGGGGACAAACTGCAACCGAGGTACGCGCCCTTAGCGGGAAACGAACCTGGGTCTCTCAGGACCGCAGGCCGACACTCTAACCGCTGAGCCAAACCGGCCAGGGCTAACTTTATATTAACTTTTTATATTAACTTTATTAAAAGTTAATCAATGGAGTTTTATAAAGATTATTTGTAAGATTGATTGTCATTGAAATTGTGTGAAAATCACTTGTGTAATTAGAATCATGTTCGATAACTAATTTTGGGGTTCTAGGAAAGGCTTTTGATTGCCGAGCTAGCCATTTCAGCCAGCGAATTCATGTTCGAAGAAACCAGGAACTATGTTAAAGAAAGAAAAGCTTTTGGGAAAACAGTTGCACATATACAGGTAAGCTTGTCATCATGGTATAGTACTAGATGATATCATTTACCCTTCTGAAATGGATCTGGTCTCAACATAAATATGGAGTAATTTTCATCACGGTGTTATTAGCATCCAAGGAAGTGGATAAGAGTAGATATTAAGATGAGAAGAGATCCTAGGACAGAATCTTGAGAAAGAATTTCAGAATTTAAAGGTAAAATAGGAAAGAAAGAGCCTACAAAGGCAACTGAAAATAAATACCTAAAGAAGGAGAAAGCAAATAAGGCAAATGTCACAGAAGCGGAGAGAAAAGAGAATTTCAGGTAGGAGGCAACAGGGCCAAGGCTGCCTGGAAGGAAAATAAGAGGAAGGTACAAGAGTGCCCACTGGATATGACCATATGGTGGTTATTTTGTAACAACCATCAAGGGACTGGTGCCAAACTAGAGTGAGTAGAGGAGTAAATGGAAATGAGGAAGTAAAGATACTGAGGGCCGGCAACTCTTTCCTGGGTTTAGCTCTGAATGTTAATTGGAGAGAAAGGATGGTAACTAGAAAGGCAAGAGGAAGAGGGTGGGAGGGAGTAGGAGGAATATTTGGGGTCAAGTGAGTTATTTGGAGATTATTAGTTTTTGTTATTGTTATTATTAGGCTGAGAATGCTGGAGCATATATTTTAAGAACTAGGAAAAGGATTTAGTAAAGAGGGAAAGATTGTAGGTATGGACCAGATAATTAACTGCATATGATCTGTAAGAAAGTGTAAGAATGTGGGTGCCAAAGCACAGGGAAAAATAGGCCTTCCCACCCCAACAGGAGAGGTGCTTCCCCCATTGTAGCAGGAAGAAAAGAGCATATGGGCATAGGTTCAGCTCTATTGGTAGAAAATTGCAAAAGCTCTCTTCTGAAGACTTGCATTTCTTTACATAACAATACAGAAGAGAGATGTGAATGAATGGGGGACGGCAGTGTCCTAGGTGAGTAAGGAAGGCTTGAAATACCCTCTTCAGAGTGAAAGACTGAACTAATTAGAGAAACAGTAGTGAGCCTGCTAGCAGCATTGAGGACCCAGATGAAGTTAGTGATCATGAATTTTATAGGAAGGGTACCTTCTGCTTTTTTTGTATATCATCTTTTCTGGAAAGATTTAGCTGTCTAGGTTCAAGCACAGAGAAAGTGGATGATGGTGTTTAGTTAAGTTTGGGTTTTGCCAGAAAGTTTAAGGTATTTTCTAAAGAACTTAGTATATGGTGGCCATACTGATTAAATATGCCAATCAGAGAACAGAAAAAATGGCAGCGAAGTGAATGGAAGCTACACAGACGATTTCCCAGGACCAAATGGAATTACAATTAAAATAAAGACAAATTGTTGAAAAAAAGCAACGGGAAAGGACCATATAACCAGGGACACTGGTAGGATTGCGGAGGTGTAAGAGGGTGGCGAGCTGGGAGCCCACAAACAGCAGCGCTCTTAGCTGTGAGCAGTGCCCTCGGGGTTAAAATCCCAAGCCTGCTCCACAGGTCAGAGGGCTGGAACAGAGCACTGAATTGGATACAACCACTCACCTTGGGGCCTGGCAGAGGAAGGGTAGACTGGACTGGAACTCTGTGGGGATATCTTGGATTTGAAGGGTGCTCAGAGTTTTTGCTGAGTGGCAGCCACAAAGGACAGTGGCCAACTTGCTCCTGCCCAGAACTCTGGGGAATCTCTGCCGGAGATTCAGCCCCTTACAGGTGAGCCAAAGAAATGTACATTGAGGCTCATTAACAACCAGCAACTGTCCCACCCTCTGGAAATCCTCTTATGCAGAACACCAGGGCTACATTCCAAGGCCCTGAGTAACTGAGACTAATAGCCTCCAGGTAAAAAGCTAGAGGATAACTGAACATTTTCTGGGCTTGCAAATCTACTCAGGAAAGTAAGACTTGACAGTGGTGTTTAACATGGGCCCTCCCATGCTTATCCAAATCCAGTAGAGGGAGCCACAAACAGTAGAACACCAACACCCACAGGGAAATTTTGGCAGGCTCTAAACCCACTGAGATAGCCTACATGGTGAAACAAAGAAACAAATCCCAAATGAAAGAACAAGAGAACTCTACCGAAGATGAGATAAATAAAATTCAGTTAAGCAAGTTATCAGAGGTAGAGTTCAGCGCCTGATCACGAGGAAGCTCAACAGCATGAGTCAAGGACATCAACACCATGAGTAAAGATATAGAAGCATTGACAACCAATTGGAAATGAAAAACCACCAAGAAGAAATTAAGAATAACATAGCATAAATAAAGAACACATTGGAAAGACTAACCAGCAGAGTAGAGGAAGCTGAGGACCGGATCAGTAAATTAGAAGACTGGATAGAAAAAATCAACCAATCAGAAAACCAAAGGAAAAAACAATTAAAAAACAGGAAGACAGCTTAAGAGAACTGTGGGACAACTGGAAACATAATAACATTCACATCATAGGAGTCCCTGAATGAAAAGGAAATGAGGAAGGGTTAGAGAATATACTTGAAGAAAATATTCCTAACTTGGTGAAGGAAGAAGGCATTCAAGTTCAAGAAGCACAGAGAGCCTCAAGTAAGAAGAACTCAAACAGGCCCATACCAAGACATATAATAATTAAAATACCAAAAATTAAAGACAAAGAGAGAATCCTAAAAGCAGCAAGAGATAAGCAACAGGTTACCTACAAAGGAACCCCCATAAAGCTATCAGTTGACTTCTCAACAGAAACACTACAGGCCAGAAGGGAATAGCATGAAGTAATCAAGGTCATGAAAAACAAGGATCTGAATTCAAGACTACGCTACCCAGCAAGGTTATCATTCAAAATAGGTCAAATAAAGAGCTTCCCAGACACACACACAAAAAAAAGCCTAAGGGAATACATTAGCACCAAACCAGCACTGCAAGAAATGTTACAATGACTGCTGTAATTAGTAGAAGAAATAGGAAGAAAAATATAACCACTCTAAACAAAAAGGGCAATAAATAAGTACATATTAATTATCACCTTAAATTTAAATAGTTTGAATGCGCTGATAAAAAGACACAGAGTAGCTGACTGGATAAGAAAGCATGACTCATCTATATGTTGTTTACAAGAGACCCACCTCACAACAAAAGACTCACATAGGTTGAAAGTGAAGGGATGGAAAAAAATCTTCCAAGCAAACAGAAAGGAAAAAAAGAAAAAAGCTGGGGTAGCAATACTCATATCTGAACAATTAGATTTCAAAATGAAGTCCATAACTAGAGACAAAGAAGTCCACTACATAATATTGAAAGGATCTATCCAACAGGAAGATTTAACCTTGGTAAACATATATGCACCCAATATAGGAGCACCAAAATATATTAAAAATCTTCTGGAGGACTTCAAAGGAGAAATTCACAGGAACACAATCATAGCAGGGGACTTCAACTCCCCACTGACAACACTAGATAGATCATCAAGACAAAAAATTAACAAGGAAATACAGACTCTAAATGAAGTGTTAAATCAAATGGATTTAATAGATATCTACAGAGAATTATACCCCAAAACTACAGAATTCACATTCTTCTCAAGTGAACATGGGACATTCTCAAAGATAGACCACATGTTAGGGCACAAACTAAGTCTCTACAAGTTCAAGAAGATTGAAATCATATCAAGCATCTTCTCGGATTACAATGACATGAAACTAGAAATCAAATGCAACAAGAACATGCAAAGACATTTGAAAACATAGAGGCTAAATAGCATGTTATTGAACAATGAATCAGTTACCGAGGAGATCAAGGAAGAAATTAAAAACTTCCTGCAAACCATTGAAAATGAACACACAGCAACACAAAATCTATGGGATGCAGCATAAGCAGTTTTGAGAGGGAGGTTCATAGCACTACAAGCCGACCTCAAGAAACAAGAAAAATTTTTAATTCACTACCTAACCTCACAACTTAAAGAACTAGAAAACAAATAGAAAGAAAACCCCAGAGCAAGTAGAAGGAAGGAAATGGTAAAGATCAGAGCAGGAATAAACAACATGGAGGCCAAAAAAACAATTCAAAGGATCAATGAAACAAAGAGATGGTTTTCTGAAAAGATAAAAAAGATTGATGGACTCTTAGCTATACTCACCAAGAATCAAAGAGAGAGAACCCAAATATAAAAAATCAGAAATAAAAGAGGAGAAGTAACAACTGACACCACAGAAATAAAAAGGATTGTTAACAAATATTATGAACAATTATACGGCAACAAATTGGACAATCTAAGCAAAATGGACAAATTTCTAAAAACACACAGTCTCCTAAAACTGAACTGGGAAGGGATAGAAAACTTGAACAGACCAATAACAACTAAGGAAATTGAAGAGGTAATCAAGAGGAAATCAAGAGGAAATTGAAGAGGCAAACAAAAACCCAGGCACGGACGGCTTCGTGGGTGAGTTTTACCGAGCATTCAAAGAAGAACTAACACCCATTCTCCTCAAACTATTCCTAAAAGTTCAAGAAGAAGGAAGATTTCCAAATTCATTTTATGAGGCCAGCATAATTCTAATTCCAAAACCAGAAAAAGGCACTACAAAGAAGGAAAACTACAGGCCAATATCCCTGATGAACATAGATGACAAAATTCTGAACAAAATACTAGCAAATTGGATCCAGCAATACATCTAAAAAATTATTCACCATAACCAAGTGGGATTTATCCCAGGGATGCAAGGCTGGTACAATATTTGCAAATCAATAAATGTGATGCACCACATAAACAAAATGAAGATAAAAATCATATAATCATATCAATAGATGCTGAAAACGCATTCGACAAAATTTAGCACCCATTTCTGATAATTATGCTCAGCAATTTGGGAATAGAGGGATCATATCTCAAAATAATAAAGGCCATATATGAAAAATCTACAGGCAACATCATACTCAATGGGCAGAAACTAAAAGCATTTCCCTTAAGAACAGGAACAAGACAAGGATGCCCACTTTCGCCAGTCTTATTTAACATAGTACTGGAAGTCTTAGCCACAGCAATCAGACAGGAAGAAAAAATAAAAGGGATCCAAATTGGAAAGACGGAAGTGAAGCTCATTATTCGCAGGTGACATGATATTATACATAGAAAACCCTAAAGACTTCATCAAAAATCTACTCGACTTAATAAATGAATTTGGCAAAGTAGCAGGATACAAAATTAATGTGAAGAAATCAATGGCATTCTTATACAGGAATGATGAACTCACAGAAAGAGAAACTAAAAAACAATCCCATTTACCATCGTGACAAGATACCTAGGAATAAACCTAACCAAAGAAGTATTCCTAACCAAAGAAGTAAAAGACCTATTCGCAGAAAACTCCAGGACATTGAAAAAAGAAATAGAGGAAGATATAAAAAGTGGAAGCACATACCTTGTTCATGGATTGGAAAAATTAACATCATTAAAATGTCCATACTACCCAAAGCAATCTATAGATTCAATGCAATCACCATCAAAATACCAACGACATACTTTACAGAACCAGAACAAATACTTCAAAGTTCATATGGAACCAAAAAAGACCCCGAATAGCCACAGCAATCTTGAAAAAGAAGGACAAAGTAGGTAGGATCACAATACCAGATAGCATGTTATACTACAAAGCTACTGTAATCAAAACAGCCTGGTACTGAAACAAGAACAGACACATAGATCAATGGAATAGAACAGAGAACCCAGAAATTGACTCAAAACATTATGCTCAATTAATATTTGACGAAGGAGGCAAGAGCATTCAGTGGAGTAACGACAGCCTTTTTAATAAATGGTGCTGGGAAAATTGGACAGCTACATGCAAAAAAAGGAAACTAGACTATCAACTTACACCATACACAAAAATAAACTCAAAATGAATAAAAGACTTAAATGTGACTCATGAATCCATAAAAATCCTAGAAGAAAATGTAGGCAACAAAATTTCGGACACCATACGCAGCAAAATTTTCACTGATACATCACCTAAGGCAACAGAAACAAAGGAGAAAATGAACACATGGGACTACATCAAACTAAAAAGCTTCTGCACAGCAAAAGAAACAACCATCAAAATGGAAAGGTAACCCACTGTATGAGAGAGCATCATTGCCAATGATATATCAGATAAGGGGTTAATTTCCAAAATATATGGAGTACTCATGCAACTCAACAAAAGGAAGACAAAGAACCCAATTAAAAAATGAGCAGAGGAGCTGAATAGACACCTCTCCAAACAAGACATACAAATGGCCAAGAGACATGTGAAGAAATGCTCAACATCACTAATCATCAGAGAGATGCAAATTAGAACAACAATGAGGTATCACCTCACACCTGTCAGAATGGCCGCCATCAACAATGCATTGAACAAGTGTTGACAAGGGTGTGGAGAAAAAGGGACTCTAGTACACTGCTGGTGGGAATGCAGACTGGTGCAGCCACTATGGAAAACAATATGGTGTTACCTCAAAAAATTAAAAATTGAATTGCCATTTGACCCAGTGATCCCACTTCTAGGAATATACCCTAAGAAGCCTGAAACAACAATTGGAAAGAATATATGTACCCCCATGTTCATAGCAGCACTATTTACAATAGCTAAGATCTGGAAACAGCCCAAATGTCCATCAGTAGACGAATGGATAAAAAAGCAGTGGTACATATACACAATGGAGTACTATGCAGCTATAAGAAAGAAAGATCTCTTATCCTTTGAGACAATATGGAGGGACCTGGAAAGTATTATCCTAGCCCTGGCTGGTTTGGCTCAGAGGTTAGAGCATCAGCCTTCGGTCCATAGAGACCAGGGTTTGGTTCCCGCTAAGGGTGCATACCTTGGTTGCAGTGTGTCCCCGGCCCTGGATGTCTTCCTCTCTCTCCCTCCCACTCTATCTGAACAACAACAACAACAACAAAAATAGAAAAATTTTCTCCGGTGAGGATAAAAAAAAAAAAAAAAAGGAAGTATTATTTGAAGTGAAACAAGCCAAGTATAGAAAGACATATATCATATGATCTCACTTATTTGTGGAATATAATGAACATAACAGTCTGAAGAATAGGGTAGTCCCAGAGACGTGGAAGTAGGGTACAGACTGACAATCTCCAGCCCTGGCCGGTTTGGCTCAGCGGTTGGAGCGTCAGCCTGAGGTACAGAGATAGACAGACAATCTCCAGAAGAGTGGGTGGGGTGGGGAAGAGATAAACTGACCCGCAGGTCGAGCAACGAGGACTCTAGAGGGGGAGTGAGGATGAGGAGAGACAAGAGACACGAGAAATGGAGACAAGACAGGGCTCTGATCAAGTCTCATTTATTCTGGGGAGATCCACAGTATATATAGGGCAAGAAGCAGAAAAACAAGAACATGTGTTGCCAAGCGATAAGTTTGTGGTAACCACCCTGAAGCAATTTCAGGTAAATATCACATAAATATCCCGGGTGGAACAAATGATAAACAGAGCATAACTGGCTGAGTAAATGGTTACTTAAAGGAATGCAGAAACATTGTATGCAGAGATGCAGACAGAGATATCCTGCCTTGGGGCAGGAGATGGCAGAGCAGATTTTTGCAAAATGGATGCCATGCAAACAGTCTCCCACAATAAACCACAGAACTTATATGCATGTATGCATAACCAATGGAAATGGACAAGAAAGCTGGGGACAGGGCAGGGAGGGAGATGGAGGAGGGTGTCAATGGGGAGGAAAAGGAGAAACATCTGTAACAAAAATAAATTTAAAAAATGAATAAAAAAAATAAATATGGCTATCAAATTTTAGACCCTCTAGTGTCACCTTAAATAAAGGATTCATTTATAAACAGTGCAGTCATCAAATTGGTGAAACATTTCACCAGCAAAAAACTTGGATTTGGAAATCTACTTGAAAAGTTTTAAGTAGAATTGTAACTGAATGCAGGTTTAGCTGCCTGCTGCAACAAAAGCCAAACTTGTGAGATAGATGTTGGTGAGAAGGAAAGTGGTTTATTCAAGTATCAGCCACCTGAAAAGATAGGAACTCTCCTCCCAAAGCCCATCTTTACATCGCAGTGCAGGTAAGGGTTTTATCAGGAGGAAGAGGAAAAGCAAAACAAAGAAATCAGGGGGAGGGGTGTTGAAAGTTCTCTACATGTAAGTCAGCACAGTCCATTCCAATGATTACCCTGAAACTGGTCAAGCAAAAGTCCAGTTTTTGTTGTTGAGAGTCAGGAAGTCTCCAGGAGCCAGAATGTTCAGTTGCTGGAGTCAACCTCCCTCCTCACAGGTAATTCCTGTAATATACTCAAGAGGCTGTTAGCAATTTATGGCAGGCATGACAAACTGAGCCTTTGTTTCAAGGTGTACCTGCTCTTCCCTAATAGGGGAGGAGCATTGTCCATTATATGTTATTTAATCAAGGAGGTCATTTTGTTAGTTAGCATAAAATTTCATATATGCTCCCTAACAGAATGACTCGGCTGAAAGGCTTTGTGAAGGCAAAAGGAGAAATGAAATACTTTGGTAGCTTTTTAGAACAAATTAAGTTCAGTTGTGGTTTGTTTGTTTATTTATTTATTTATTATCATTATTGTTAAAAATATCCTAGCGTAGCTACTTGAATATCTGTGCTCTAGGCAAATTGAATTTTCTCTCTCCAAAGTATTTCCTCCTAGATTACTGTGAGGATTAAGATGAGGTAACACACATCAAGTGCTCAGAACATTGTTTGGCAAAATAAATTAGTTTTTTTCCCTCTTACATAATGTCTTACTCCATTTTGTTTCAATAAAGAAAGTTTTTTATATCAACTTCTTGTTCCTGTTCTGGAACAACTCCATGTCATTTTGGGACCTATTTCCTACCTATATGTTAATCAAGTTAACTTTTTTTATTCTGGTAAAACTTCTTTATACCCTAACTTTCTTATTGACATAACAGATCAAAATACAGTTGTTCTGAATTTATAAAAATTAGGCACACACCTAGTCAAGAAAACTTTTTTTAAAAATAATTTCTCCCAATTTATTCTTTTAAAAAAATTTTTTTTTCTTTATCAGTTTTAGAGAGAGAGAAACATGGATGAGAGAGAACATCGATTGGCCACCTCCTGCATGTCCCCTACTGGGGATTGAGCCCACAACGTGGGTATGTGCCATGATTGGGAATAGAACTGGCGACCTCTTGGTGCTGATGCTCAACCACTGAGCCACACAGGCTAGGAAGAAAAGGTTTTGTTTTATTTTTTATCCTTACCCAAGGACATTTTCCCATTTTTTGTTCAGATAGAGAGGAAGAGAGGGAGGGAGAAAGAGAGGGAGAAAGGGAGGGAGGGAGAAAGGGAGGGAGGGAGAAAGGGAGGGAGGGAGGGAGAAAGGGAAACATCAACATGAAAGGGACACATTGAGTGGCTGCCACTCACACAACCCAACCAGGGCCGGGGACAAACTGCAACCAAGTTACGTGCCCTTAGTGGGAACTGAACCCAGGTCTCTCTGGACCGCAGGCCGATGCTCTAACTGCTGAGCCAAACTGGCCAGGGCAGAAGAAAGGATTTTTAAAAACAATATGATGTAACCTCCCTAGATATTATACTTTATATTTTCTTTCATTTAGGTATCATTTATTTACACACATCAATAATTCTCAATGACTGCCCTCTTCCCCAGGCATTTAGAAGGGTCGGGGGGATGGTGCAGAGACTGGCGATGTAAGCCCTGGAGGCCAGTGTTGTTAAATGTTCTGTAATTCAGAGATCTCTTTGTATAACAACTAATTGTCTCACTCAAAATGCCAGTAGTCTCCCACTGAAAAACATTGAAATACATGATTTATTCCTTTTTGTTTCACTGAGAAAATATGTATTGATTGTCTTCTAGAGGTTACATGCTGAGATGTAATTTCATAGGTATGATTCTGGAAGTACACACTATAGGCCTCAAAATATGAAGGGCATGATAACACTGGATGTCACTGTGACTTTCCCAATTGTACCCAAAGTGGAATTAGTGTCATTTGCTTCTGAAATCCAGCCACCACTACTTTCACCTCAAAAATGTTTATCAAAACACTTGTACCTTTAGGCCTATTCTTAATACTGTAAAAAATAATGAACTAAAATAGACCTATTTTTTATCTTCTTGGAAATATACAATTCCTATGTTTATGGAAATCATATTAAATCACAACAAAGATGACTGTAATATCACCCAGATTATATAACTCAGAATGTTAAATGTGGTTTGACATTTCCTGAACATTACATGTGAAGGATTATAGATAGATATAGATATAGATATAGATATAGATATAGATATAGATATAGATATAGATATAGATATAGATATAGATATAGATAAGAGAAGAAATAGTTTTCATCTTTTTCAAAGCAGGTGCCATGTTTTGGTTACTTTCTCTCAAAGGTAGTTTACTAAATTTTCACTAGATGGCAGTAGCATTCTACTGCTACCATTGTATTAGTGATACAAGTACTATTGTTTTCTAAATAAATGAGATTTCTGAGATATTTCTTCTAATTTTGTTGTTTTATCTAAGTGAATACCTTTGAATAATATGTTTATATTCAATCTAGGAATTTAATGTATTCAGAGAAGATGCGTGACCAATGCATGCTTACACAGCCAGTTCTAGAGCTGGGTACACTATGGTTCTAGTTATTAAATCGAAATAGAAGACAATATTTACTTAGCCAAATGTCATTTTATGAGCACATAGCAATTCAATTGTCTTTCTCTTTCTTATTCTTGAATTTTGAACATTTTGGTTCTTTCTGACCATCTGGATCCATTTCACAATTTTTTTTTTCTTTTTAAGTTGGAGATCAATCATACTTAGCCTTTTTCGAGTAGGTCAGTTGGTTAAAGCATCATTCCAATATGCCAAGGATGTGGGTTTGATCCCCGGTCAAGGCACATACAAGAATCAACAAACAAATGTGTAAATAAGTGAAACAACAAATCAATGTCTCTGTCTCTCTCTACCTCTCTGTCTCTCAGATCAATAAATAAGATTTGTTTTTCTTTTCTTTTTTTTGCATTTATCTTCAGAAAGAGCGGGAGGGAGAGAGGGAGGAAGAGAGAGAAACATCGATGTGAGAGAGACACATTGACTGGCTGCCACCCACACAACCCCAACCAGGGCCGGAGACAAATTGCAACTGAGGTACGTGTCCTTAGCGGGAACCGAACCCAGGTCTCTCTGGTCCGCGGGCCAGTGCTCTAACCGCTGAGCAAACTGTCCAGGGCAAGATTTGTTTTTTAAAATATGGAGACCTACATCCTTAAGTAGTTATAGGATTTCCATGTTTTTCATTTATATTTTTGGTATTTGATGTTGTCTTATTATTTTCCATGGAATAGGCAATAAAATGGTAAAATTCAGATATTAAATAATGATAATGAGCCATTATCATTATTTTGCTTTGTGCCTATGTGCTAGACACAGCTAAATGGATGTCTTATTTTTTAGACAGAAACTCTATGTAATAACTATTATATTTTTCCTTATTTTACAGATAAGGAGATTGAGGCATAGAGAGGTTAAGTAACTTGCCAAATATTACACAAATGTTCTAACTCTGGATGTACACTCTTAACTCAGGCACTCGGTTTACTACCCAGAAATTTAAGGTAGATAGACTTTTTTTCTCTTTCCTCCCCTTCACACATGTTCACCCACGTTCAATGACATGAAAATTCAGTGTTCTTTTCTAATGCAAGCTGTAGTTATTTCCTGGGTGGTATATGCTCTGGATTCTAAGTACACAAATTATTAGAAAAAGGAATAGGAGAGAGAAAAAAATAACACTTCTTTTTTACATGCCTCCAGAAAGGGAACATCCAGTTCTTAAGACCTTGAGTGTAAGATTAATTAACTATAAAATTAGATAACATACCTGAGATGTTATCTAATCATAATATATGAGAGTACAACTACTGGTGTTGTTTAAATGGAATACTGGGCTAGATAACTTTCCAAGGTGTCTTCCATTTCCACAATTCTATGCTTCTAAGAATTCTGTCATTCAGAACTCTGAAAAAGACTTTACCTGGTCTACTTAGTAACTTCAGGGAATTAATATTATCTATTAGCAACTGATAGTGAATGTTAAAAAGTACTGTTTCACATTTGTTGATCATTCACAAAAAGCACCTTGCTAATGTGTGGTACAATTAGTAACCACCATTAATTAGAGAATAATTTCTAAAAGTATGACATAGTGTCTGAAGAGGAAAGACCAAATCTGCATAGTCATGCCTAACTCAATGCCAAGAACATGTAAATATTTAACCTCTTTATCTCCAGAGCATAAATCGTGTACCCTCGGAGGTACTAATTCCTTCAGACCTCTGGACCTCACCGAATGTGCGGACACAGAATTCTAAATGAGCCCATCCTGGTCTGAACTTTAACTTCAGCTTCTGGAAGCTCCCAGCATTCCCGTTGGAGCTGCTCTCATATGAGAGAATTGGGCTTAAAGATCTTGATTCTCTCCTATAAGTAGTGCACCGATTCCCAAATGTGCCATCCATGGGGGTGGGGGTAGGGCAAAAGTATCTTGAGACTTGTCAGGTTCCCCCTTATTTTCCAAATGAAGTGTCATTGAACTAAACCGGACGTAGGCTCAGAACTGAGTTTCAGGGGTTTTCATGGAGCACATCCTCATCCTCAAAGTATAGAAGAGTATTTCCCCGCTTTTTTTATATCCCTTGTTTCATTTTTAGATTTTCTATGAGTAAACTTAGATATGTGGACTGGGAGTGGAAAATGTTGCTGATTAAAGGGTAGAGATTCGGCCTAATTAAACGAGTAGAAAGGGAAATAGAAAAAGTAAGGAAAAGAATGAGAAGAGGTTTTGATGTTCTGAATTAGAGGCCAAGACACAGAGGTGGAAGGATGTGTCATCAGCCTTCCGACTGCTGGTTTTGTAATCATGAGATGCCAGTCACGTTGCCTGTTTCTAGAACAGGACGGTGTGAAGCCAAGGGAAAGGCAGTCGAGTGTCTCATCAGCACAGCAGTTACGTTGGCACACTTACGAGGAATCTGTCCATCAGAGCGCCTACTCCACCTGACACGCCCTGGTCCTGCCTGGTCCTGGGTCTGACTGGACTCCTTTTCTGTTCTTTTCCAAAAATGGAAAGTACCCAAACTTTCCCCACCACAATGATACTGAGAGGTTTGGTTTTGTGGTATGAAAATCGCTGTAACTAGTAGTAAAGACAGCATCCTCTGAGAATCTGGTCCCCAAAGCCTTCCTTTGAGAACTCAACCATGGCTTTGGACGTGCCAGTGTATAGGTGGGGTACCTTTAATTTCTGGCTTAAGTCACCTTGTCACTAACGTCCATGTCTTTTGTTAGCCACAGTGCAGTTCTCACGCAAACATTCCATAGCAGAATGATCAGAACTCTATTTCTGTTTGTATTTCCACAAGGAACGTAGAGCCAGCTGATCACAGCTGCACCTTGAACCTAAGAGGTCAATGAATATGGTGTATTTTGGGAGGTTACCCAAAATGGAAAGCCAGTATTTCAAATCTAAGCCAGTTTCTGGAGAAGGTTCAAGGGTTGATGCGAAAGAGATCAGATGTAAACTTAAAGGTTAAGGTGTGAGAGCCAAGAGTCAGGAATGCAAGGAAATTGGATTGAAGTGAGAGCAGCTGGGAATGGTCTAGACAGGATGACTTCCAAGACTAGTATTGGTTGTCGATGGCCAGCAGGAGGAGGTATATAAGTATATCAGCATTGACAATTCCTGACCATTCAGTTCAAGTTAGAGACTCTGCCGACAAGCTATGGAGAGGGATAAGGAGGGTGGGGAGAGGCAAAAAAAAAAAAATTGATCGCTTGAGATCTCAATTCTGTTATTGCATTCTACAGATCTAGATTAAATACTTTGCAATATAACACACTATTTCTGATATTGCCACTCCAGCTTGTTACTTTATTACTTTATTCTAATACAAAGAAGAAGAAGAGAGAAATATGATTTCTCTAATTTCGGTAATAGAGAAAATTTCTTCATGGGTTTAGATCACAGAGGAAAATACGTTTTCAACAGTTGTACCTACAGGACTGTACCACAAGATGGTGCTCACCCATCAGTCATGCTGTTTTTCAAGAAACTTCCCTAAATGGTCTAAATTTTTGAATCTAAAACATAAGATATTTGTGTATTTATTTTTACATCTTTTCTTTTTAGTACAAGTTTCCTTAGCAAGGAAATACAGTGTGTTTTAAATCTAAGCTCTTTGTTAACATATGCTTGCTTCGGGTTAAAAAAAAAACAAACAAACCAGTACAGTAATTACACTTTTGTTTTGCTGAAAAAATCTTTTATTGTATAACTTTTGATATGCTAGGTAACTCAAAGTATGCTCTTCTACCATGCTCATTTTTGTCTTTCATTTCCTTTAAACTCAAGACGGTGCAGCATAAGCTAGCGGAATTAAAAACACACATTTGTGTAACCAGAGCTTTTGTGGACAGCTGTCTCCAGCTGCATGAAAAGAAACGTCTGGACTCTGCCACAGCTTCCATGGCGAAGTACTGGTATGTGTGCTGCAGTAATTAAAACGCGGTGTTTCACAGACTGTTATGGAATTCTTCCCACTTTAAACTCAGCCTTGAGAGTCTGAAAGGAAGAAGGCTGAGTAAATGAAAACTAGCAATCAGAACCAACTTATAAAAAAAATGCTGAAAGGTCCCATTAAGCTTATTTATAATGTGCAAAAAATAACTCAAGTTGGTATTTAACTTTTAGCAAGCCATTGAAAATAAAATACTAAGAGACTGAAGTAGGGTGACTGATCAGTTAATTTAGGTTTAATTTCAAATTACCAGAAGAGTTGCAGTACAGTGAGAACAAACATTTACAGTAAGACCTGGAGTCCTTAAGTAGTCCCAGTTCTTTCATTAAATAACTATCATTAGGTTTAATTTCTCTGAGACAACATTTTGATATCTTTGAAATGAGTAGCTTGGACAGGATTTTTCTATTTGAGGTGTCTTTCATGAAATCAAAGAAAAAAATTTCTGAAAAATTGACTGTTGAATCAAAAGTTGCACATGCTCGATTAAGTGAAAGGAACGTCTCCTATTAGGATCAGAAAGACTTTCCTTTGTGTTAAAGGTGGTCAGCAATGGCATTAAAGATGAGTTGATTGAGAGAAAAAAAAAAAACCCTATTAGGTTTTTATGCATTTTAAGATACCAGAACATAGTTTAAATCAGATTCTGGATGTGGGTTTGGTTCCCTCTGTTTTAAAAGCAAACATTCTCACATCTCATTAGCCAAAAAATAACCTAGAAAAATTCCTGTCATTATTCATTAACCTGTGTTCAGTTCAATCAAAAGTAGAATGGGAAAATACGCAGAGTAATGCTTTATGTAATGGTTCCAAAATAATGAAATTGATACGGAATTACTAGGAACTTGCACTTTTTGGGGGGCATGGTGTTTCACAGCAAGTTTTTTTACTACTTTAAAAAGTATAAAAATAACTTTAGAGAAGATGTTTTTGGAAAAAGAGATATTTGCATAGCAATGGACTTCACTGTTCTTGAAAACACCAGGTTTATAGACATACTGGTATTTCATATTGAAGCAGAGGAAGCAACTAGTTATAGCCCAGTAAATATTTCACTAAAATCCTTGCTAAATTGAAAAATTTATAGAATTCCAAATATTGTTACCCTTGAGTCTTGTTTGTTAATCATTATATTGTTATTGTATTTCTTGGGAACATCCACCTGCCTTATGGCTTGAGTTAAAAATTATTATTATTTTATCCTCACCCGAGGACATTTTTCCATTTTTTGTCCAGATAGAGAGGGAGGGAGGGAGGGAGGGAGGGGGAGGGGGAGAGAGAGAGAGAGAGAGAGAGAGAGATGTGAAAGGGACACATCAAATGGCTGCCACCCACACGACCAACCAGGGCTGTGGACAAACTGCAACCGAGGCACATGTCCTTAGCGGGAACCGAACCCAGGTCTCTCTGGACCGCAGGCCAATTATTTTTAGTAGGAAAATATGTTCATGCTTACCTTTGCTTTCTTCCTCACTTTTGAAAAATAAATTGAAAATAATTTTGAACTAGCTTATCTTTTATGTCAAGATGAATAAAAAATCCCTTAAGGATAGTTGAAATTATTGTGATAAGATCAGAAAAGAATATTTCTCAGGTACTTCACATTAATATACATATATTTCAAGGACAATAATTCCCAAATAATCTTTAATAAGTTTTTTATATGATGGAATTCACTTTTTTTTTTTTTATCCTCACCTGAGGACACCCTTCCGTTTTATTTTGTTCAGGTAGAGTAGGAGGGAGAGAGAGAAACATCGATGCGAAAGGAACACATCGAGTGGCTGCCACCCGCACAACCCACCAGGGCCGGGGACAAACTGCAACCGAGGTACGCACCCTTAGCGGGAACCGAACCCGGGTCTCTCAGGACCGCAGGCCGACACTCTAACCGCTGAGCCAAACCAGCCAGGGCTGATGGAATTCACTTTAATAGTAGTGTGCCCTGTTAGGTTTTCACTTTTATTTTCAGTTTAGTTCTGAAAACCCTAAAAAAAATGTTTATTCAGTTACTTGAATTCAGACTTATAGCCTTCAGATAGGAAGTGATATCTTTGGAGAGAAAAAAACAAACAAACAAAACATAATTCAAAGGCTAAAGGAAATAGATGGCTATACAATTATACTGTTAACTTAGATCAAATAGAGATCTAAAGTAGACCAAATTCAAGTTTTTACTATATTTTTTCAGGTGTAAAGTAGCCAAAACCTGATAGTCTATGATTTCCACATTTTGTTTCTAGCCTCAACAAAAATTCAGCCAAAAATATAATTGATGAAGAAAGTATTTATTATATGAAAATTCTCCTGAGATATATTTCAGGTTTAATAAAGTGCAATTCTATTTCTGGTTGGCTATATGCCTATTTTTAATTGTTTGATAAATGTATGTATTTGATAAATCACTTGTTTCCTGGTTGTGAAGCACCTCATGCAGATCTGTCTGAAATGTTCCTTTCTGCTTTGTACTGTATCCATCCAGGGCTTCTGAGTTACAGAACAGTGTAGCGTACGACTGTGTACAGCTCCATGGCGGCTGGGGGTACATGTGGGAGTTCCCGATTGCAAAGTGAGTATGGCTCTTCTGCTACACTCCTCTGAGTGACTTGAAGAAAAAGGAAAATTACTGTACTTTGTACATTGAAGGAACAAAAGTGCAAAACCTTTCATTTTTCAACCGACTGCAGAGTGTATTGGAAACAGCTGTCTGTCATTCCCTCACCCCTAGAATTTTATTATTTTTAAAGAAAGTGAAGAGAGCCCGGCCGGTGTGGCTCAGTGGATTGAGCGCACCCATGGACTGAGGTCCTGGTTCAATTTCCGGTCAGGGCACATGCCCAGGTTGCAAGCTCTATCCTCAGTGAGGGGTTGTGCAGGAGGCAGCCGATCAAATTTTCTCTTTCACATCGATGTTTCTCTTTCTCTCTCACTTCCTTTCTCTCTAAAAAAAAAAAAGAAAAAAAATCAATAAAAAAAAATTGAAAAAGAAAGTGAAGAGACCAATATACTACTAAAGCTGGATGTTTGGCTTTATTTGAATTGTTATACAGGACTAATATCACTTTGGAAATAGTTAAGTAATGTTATATTTTATAGATTAACCATAATTATTCAGGTTATTTCTAGTTTTTGTTTTATTTTTTTTACTATGACAAACAATGCTATAAACACCTTTTTACATTTATTTTAGATATATGTGTTTTTTATTGCAACAGGACAGATTCACAAAAGTAATATTGGTTGTTCAAAAGTATGTATATTTTAAAGTTTTATAATTTCCATATTATTTCCTCTAGTTGGTAGTAACTCATACTCAAATGAACAGAGTCTGGCATCTTCCTAAACTATGAATGTTACTGCCTTTGAAACTTTGTGCTAATCTAATGGGTAACAAAGCAAGTTATTGTTTTTCCTTGAATTTGCATGGACTATTAGTTACTTTGTTTTATTTATTTTACCATGGTAAGAACACCTAACGTGAGCTCTACCCTCTTCACAAAATTGTAAGTGTACCCTGGAGTATTGGAAACTATAGGTACAATTTTATAGTGCAGATCTCTGGAGTTTATTCATTTTGCTTCATTGAAATTTTAAGCCCATTATTAGTACCTCCCCATCTCCCCTCCCCTTAGGCCCTGGCAGCCACGATTGCGCACTGATTCTGTGAATTTTAGATCACACATATAGATGGAGTCAATGTCGTATCTGTCTTTCCGTGACTAGCTTATTTCACTTAGCAGAATGTCAAGGTTATTCCAGATTGTCACATGCTGCTGAGTTTCCTGTTTTAAAGTTGAATAGTATTCCACTGTATGCATATACTCTGTTTCCTTTATCCATTTATCTGTCCATGAACAGTTAGGTTGTTCTCGCATCTTGGTTACTGTGAATAATACTGCAATGAACACGTGAGTGCTAGTATTGCTTGCAGGTCCTGATTTCAGTTCTTTTGACTTCAAGTGTGATTTCTGGATAATATGGTAGCTTTATTTAATCTTTTGAGGCCCCTTCATGCTGTTTCTTATAGCATCTGTGCTGTTTTGCATTCCCTACAACTGTAGAAAAGCATTCCAGTTTCTCTACATCCTTGTCAATACTGGGGGTGACATCGCATTGCGATTTTGGTTTGCACTTCACTGATGATTAGTGACGTTGAGCATTTTTTCATATACCTGTTGATCAGTTATATGACTTCTATGGAAATATCACTTTTTTAAAACTAATAAAAGGGGGGAAGACCCTATAGAAAAAATCAGCCTGCATATGAAGAGAATCTATGTTTTCATATCTTAAATATTTTATTATTTTCCTCTAAAAAAACAAATCAAAAGTACTGATTTTTTTCCAAATAGAATTTTTACTTTCTTCAAATTAAATTAAATTAAATTAAATACACCTGTTTTATTATATTACATACAAATATTCTTACCAGTTCAAAGCAGCACCAGTTTGTCAATAGGCAGCATTGTCTTCCATATTTCTTCCTCCATCTTCATAAGTTCTTCTTTTCCTCTTTCCATGGTCTTTTGCCTCAGTAATCTCTCCATGGGACTTCTCCCATGGAGAATTTATGTTTTCCTCTTATTTAGCAATATTTCCAGTTTATAAAATTTTCCCAAGGGAGTTTTTTGCTGTACCAAGAGAAGTCCAATTTAGTTCTGAATCAGATAATGAGAAAGCTATGGACTCCTATGAACGTTTTCTAATTGTAATCTAAATACAGATATCTAAAGCGAAAAATTATCAAACTAGAGTTCAAGCTGACTTTCAAATTTTTTATTTTGGCAAGCATAATTGAAAACATTTGATACACTTATAGTCCTTAATGAGGAAAATAAGCATTTTATTAAAGTTACATGTAGAACAGAAGCTTCAGCATAGATATAATTTACTAATTTTTCTGTAGCCATTGGGCAGCTCGTAAAGCTTTAATCACAGGATGTATATAATTTATAACCTTTTATAAAAACTCAGCAATAAGTAGGGCTTTTTCTTTCCTTGGGAATGTAGGCACGAAGTCACTAAACGATTTCTCTTTTTTAATCAATCCTTGGATTTGGATTTTGGCATATCCTTTTAGAACTACTTCAAACAGGCCTTAATCAAAAGCAGATTTATTTTTTTATCTTTGCATAGTCATGAAATCAAAAGTAAACACTGAGTTATGCTAGCACAAATTAAATCAACATTGAAATTTTTCCTGTGCATTTTCATGTTTTACTCACAATATTCATCTATTCACAATATTAACTATGCTAGAAAGGTAAAATAATAATGGGTGTTTATATTTTTCTACTCAACTGTGCAGTTACAGCTGCTGCTTGGAAAGTAGACAGTGGGGGGCTCAGTGTTTGTCTAGTGTAGTCCGAGTTCTGAGAGAGGCGTAGAGGAGTCAACCACGCGCACGGCCAGGAGGCCTTTCCTTCAGGTCAGCAGTGAGCAAAAACTGTAGCTTGATGGCTCAGTATTTGAAATCCCTGATTTCAGTTTGAGAGACTTATATTTCCTTTCAGGACTAGTAATCCCCTTTTGGCCAGCTTGTTAGTTCAAAGATTATATGAAATTTTCTTTTTATTTTAATCCTCACCCGAGGACATCTTTCCATTTTTTGTTCAGATAGAGTGGGAGGGAGAGAGGGAAAGAGAGAGAGAAACATTGACATGAAAGGGACACATCGAGTGGTTGCCACCCACACGACAAATCAGGGCCAGGGACAAACTGCAACCGAGGTACGTGCCCTTAGCGGGAACCGAACCCGGGTCTCTCTGGAGCGCAGGCCGACCCTCTAACCGCTGAGCCAAACCGGCCAGGGCTAAAGAGTACATGAAATTTTCAACTATACTGCTGTTTTTCTCCACAAGATATAGGGAAAGAATTTTTATATATATATAAAATAACGAGAGAAAGTAATAGATATTATCAAAAAAGTTAGACACATTAGGTAGTATGTGGATGTGTACAGACTGTGATTTAATAGAAAAAAAAATTATTCTATTTGTGTTTCCTATGTCCTCGGATTAAACTATATTATCTCTGTGTGTGTGTGTGTGTGTGTGTGTGTGTGTGTGTGTGTGTTGCTGAGTCTTGGTTTCACCTATAAAGAGGTGCTTTTTTGTTTTGTTTCATTTTATTTGTTTGTTTATTTGTTTTTAAATAACTGCTCTTTAGCATGACTTTGCTTCAGTCTCACTCATTATTCTTGGGGCCAGTAAAGGGAGGTTTAATCGTTGCCATTTCCAGACTCTGCCATGCTGGGAAGAGTAGCCTGAGACAGAGAGCTTCATCAGTCGTGTGGTTAAATATTTATTCCACTGTCTTTCTCTGTTAATTTTAGTTGATGACTGAATTTAATTAGTAACCTATAAAAGGTCTACCGATCTCTGTCATTACCAGTTCCATTGGAACTTCTGTAATGTAAAAAAAAAGCCCAACCCAGTCTAAAAATGTCTAAAAGCATTGAGATTGCCGAAGGAGAGTAAAATGCTAGGTAGCTCCTCTAAATGCAAGGGCTGGATTTTTGTGGGCAAAAATGGAATTTGTTCGAAAGAAAAATATATATTTGAAAACACTAATGTCTCTAGATTTCACATCTCTTCAGAAAGTTGATATTGAGACACTAAAATTCCTTTGTAATACTATAAATCAAATCAGTAAATACTGAGTGCTTACTCTTTGCAAGGTCCCATGATGAATATGGAGAAGGATAATGTTGGTTCTTAGAGAGCTAGCACATTTGTCTCAAAAATTTAGTTAAAAACAAACAGATTTTATGCTTGAAAAAGAAATGCCTTTGAATTTGTCTACGAGGAAAGTCCAAAGCTCAGTAACCAGTCCTACATGCCTGGGTCAATGAAAAGACTGTGATATGATAAAAAAAGATGCTTGCAAAGTGGCAGGATACTTACCTTCTCATTCCAGATTGCCAATTATCTATATAACCATTAAATAGCAACCATTAATTAGTAATTGTATTAACTTCACTGTACCTCAGTTCCTTTACCTGCAAAACAACATAATATTTATTCTCCCTGATCCCACAGTTGAGAGGATAAAGTGAGACCAGAAAAGGTAAAAACAGCTATACAGTGTCATTGCTACCAAAAGGGAATTTTTAATAACATTTTTTTTCAGTTTTCTATGTCAGTGAACTCAGCCACTTGGTATTTTAACCTCATAAATTACTGGAGTGACTATTAACCATTTTCAAAAAATAAGTTACTTGTTAACTTTGTGGGAAGTAATATTTTCTAAAGATTCAGTTTGTACTCTTGATGGCTGCAGGGGTAGTAGGAATATAAAGGGATGTTAGGAAATATATGTTTTCTTTTCTCTTGTTTTCTACAAAACCAGTGGATTTCAACTTCTTTGAGAATCATTAAAGATAACAAGAAATTAAAACATTCTATCTATTTCTAAATCTAAAGTGGCCTTTTTAGAATGCTATTATATGTGCTAAATTTTACAAAATTAAATCAAAATAAACTTATAAATGTTAATTTGAATTTGTAATCTTTTCAAGCAAACTAAAACAAAACTCTGTACATATGATTACCATCTTAGTAGAATTTTGTAATTATACCAATCAAGGATGAATGCCACACTAGAAAAAAGTAATTATGAAGCCTTTTATTGTTTGGATTTCATTAACTGAATACTTTAAAGCAATTAATAGTTACATGGTGAGACAAATTTTATAGTTTCTAATATCTTTTCTTAATAATTCATTCATTGATCTTCTGATTTATCCAGAGCTTATGTGGATGCCCGAGTTCAGCCAATCTATGGTGGTACCAATGAAATAATGAAGGAGCTAATTGCAAGAGACATCGTCCGAGACAAATAGACATCTGCCCACATCCTGGAATCCTATTACTGCTAATCTGGTTTTAAATCTACTCAAGATAAAATGCAACCTGGAAATGGAGGAGACGCTAAACATGTTTTTGTACACTGTCTTATAGAAAAAAAATCAAATGCAAATATAAGATTAACACAATGGGAGAAGAAATGTTTGAATGCAAAGATTCCAAAATTCTCCAACATAAGGTTTGACTTTTAATTTTTTATATAGCTAAAAGGCAAAGCTTTTCTGATTCTAGAAGCCTTAGTG